AACCATACTTTATGGCATTTTATGAAGGTAGACGGTGACAGGTTCTTACCTGACCGTACTTGTGCTTGAGCAGATGGTTTCGGACACATTTTAAGGCATGTGGAACATCACATAGAAAATGCAGAAAGTTCCCTTCAGCCAGGCACGGGTGTGGATCTTTAACAAGGTGATTCTATGCTTCCACTGACGCCGAGCTGCTGCCACATTGACCTGTTGATCTTGGCCCCGTCACTTACAACAGCAATAACTGTCGCGCCGTGCTTGTGAAGCTGGATCACTGCTTCCAAAACTAGTTGAGCCAAAATTTTGCCGGTAGCAGCGCCTTTAGTCGCAAAAGTAGCAATTGGCTGAACCCATCCCTCAAACTTCAGCACAAACATAAGGACAAGGGCATGGTCCGCAAGCTGATTTGTCCCTTCCTTTGACAGCCCATCATAGTCAACAAAGCCATCAATTTTATAGCTTGACTTATTGAAGTCGTAGGCCTGTCGCAACTTAATCTCATCAAGAATTAGTGAGCCAAATCTCCGATTGTCAGTCTTCTTGTCGAACTGCTTGGCGATAGCCTCCAAACAAATAGGATTAAAGCCTTATTTGCATGGTATACCTTTTAGTATTTGAGTCAGGCGGCTCTTCGAGGGAAGAGGTAACATTTTCATGTCACTTATCAGTTTATATGCTCGTGGGCTTGCAATTCGCAGCATTAGGCAATTAAGAATCCAGTCGGCCTTATAGTGCATGCCACAGGCTGCTTTCACTTTCAGCAGCTTCAGCGATGTCATGAATGACAGCCTTTGCAAAGGAGAAAGCTCAGAAAGGGCATCTTCGATTCCCTCATTCGACTCCCTCATTCGAAGAGCCAGGGTCTCCTCATTTTTTCTTCCTTTTTGTGGCAGCCGCACGGGCAAGCCTCTTTGAGAGGTTGCGAACCTTTTGTGTTCTGGTTTTCACCACCTTTGTAGGCTTTCCGACTCGCAATTGTCTCCGTAGGCACAGGCAGCGAAAGCAAGTGGGCCGCTTTGTAAACACTGAGCAGTGTTTGTGATGAACAGTAACGGTTGTGGGCACATTCTCGACTGATGGTATGCCTCCACAGATGTTCAGGCTGTCTATCTCCTTTAATACACTTTCCGAATGGGCGACAGTGGTCAGAGTTCGCAACAGCTGCTTGTGCACTTTGTTGTAGCTGTTAATAGTGCAGCTGCCATCTCGTTCTACAATAACAGTTCTTTGTACTAGCAGTTCTCCTGCCACAAGATTTCTGCACTAAAAAACACCGCACGTCATCCCCGACATGGCGTCATCGATTAATTCTTGACGCCAATGCGGGGAAGGCAATGAGACGTTCATCGCTTTATTGAGCGCGAACGGTGCAGCTGACATGCCATCTGAGATACTCGGAGATGCGTCGTCGCAAGAATCACTCGACCGACTCGATGACGCCCCTCTGTCATCTTCTGGCATGAGGCATGTCATCCCTGCCTGTTTTTTTGGCAACCCTCCTTGTCCTTGTCGTCACTTTTGGCTTAGAGATGCACTCTGGCAAACCCGGAAAAAGGCGAGGTAATGCCCCTGGCGCTAGCGCCCATTTTCCCAAGGTAGAAGTACTTCACTTCTATTTATATCGTGCTTATAATATTTGACAATATCGTCAACCTCAAAATGTCGCTCACATACCTTGGACTTGTGAGTGAGCCGCCTATCCTTGCGGCGCAGCATTTGTTCCCACTTTTTAAACTCATCGGGATCCCGGGGTGGTTCAAAGAAATGGTAATAGGTGTCATTTCTGTAGCTGCTTTTGTAGCCCGGCACAAAACAAGAAGGCATTATTCATTGGCGTCACTTGTCACATGTTAAAACTCTTTCGTAAGCGACGACAGATCACTAAACAATGGCGCGAAAAAGCAAGCGAGTGCCGAAAACGTGTTGTCATTTCTGAGTGGCAACACGTGGTCGCTAGACGCGCAGGCGCGTGAAGCAAAACGGAACAGCAGCGCCATTAGTTCACGCGTCAGCCGCTTGTGCCGGCGGGCGCGCAGAGCTGCGAAACTGATCTGGTTCTAGTAACGCTTGATGCAGGCAACATATAATCATGCAACTAGGATCTCATCTCCACTTGAAGCACAGCATATGGAATCATTAGTTGGCCGAATTGCAGCCCAAGGAATCACACTTGTGGATTATAAAAAGGGCTATTGGGTCAAATCTCCCCTCATTGGAGCTATTGCACCATGAAGCCGAAGGAGAGTCAACATGTATATCTTTGGGATTGTGCTCACAAGTATTATGAAAGCTAGCCTCACTTAGCAAGTTTGTCATTCAGCATAAAACAATTGCTGAGTTATGAGCAGTCTCTAAGAAGGATGTCTCGATCTGGGTACTTCATGTGTGTCCTTCCAAACACTATGAATTTGAAATATCTCCTTTTTGGCATTGCAGAGTAAGTCCCTTTTTCTTTTTCATAAAATTTACAATCAGCTATCTGAAAAAATATATATATACTAACAAGGCCATCATACATATTGGCACGCACCGACAAACTCAATAAAGTTTAGATTACATACTGTCTCGCAAAATGTTTTCACAACTCATTCATACCAAGAACTCATCTGGAATTGCCTTCTCCTTGAAATTACTTATGTAATGAATTATAAATTATTTAGTAAAACCATTGGTGTTCTGTTAATGCATACATACTTGTCACTGTCCTAAGTTTTTTTTCATAACTGCTTGAAAATTATTGATAATATATGCCCATTGCAAATCTGAGTCATTTTTTGCTGTGTTTTTATGCCTATTACTATGTATTTATACTTTTTTCATTTTATCTTGATGATTGTATTAAATTTCTTGTCTCCTCACTTTCCTCTGTAATACCCTTGAGTCCCAAAAGTACCACAAATAAGTAGGTACTATGCTGCACAGTGATTAGTTTTTGAACACACACACACAAAAAAACACAATCCTTCTCACTGCAAGACATTGCACCTGCTTTTGCCACTATTAGTGCACAGGTACTAGAATCGCAGCTTGGCCAGTCACGTGTGGGAGACCAACAAGCAGTTGGAAATTTCATTGGTTGCATGCAGATGACACCTTAGTCAGCGATGTTTGTGTTATGAATGATCGCTAGAAGCTCGTTGCATTTACAACTCATGCTTGTTGCTTGAAATGGAACGATAACCAACCAGGTGTTAACGCACTGTGCAGGAAACTTTGTGATGCTTACCCTTTGCCTGCAAGAGTAGGGTGCGATGATAGCAAAGCACCTAGTCGGGCTAGTAGGATGACATTCATTGTGAAGGCTGTGTTAACAAACACTGACACAAGAAGAGGAAAATCACTGACCAAGCATTGTAAGCAGTGTACAGGAGAAAACAACAACACTTGCCATCCACTTCCGAGTGAAACAAAGATAATGCACCATCATAGGGACTGTTTTTTGAGAGCTGTTTGAGGCATTAAGATATATGTGGTTGTATAAGCAGACCTTTGCTCACACTCCCTCTTTGTGAGCTGCAGTTTTTAGATGCTACTTGGTGACATCATTTTAGATGGACCAGCAACCTTATTTCGTGCTCTTGTTCTGAGGATGTTTGTGAGAAAGAAAGCGTGAACACTAAAGTCTGTAGCTCGTAACAGCCCAAAATTGCGAAATGATAAAGCGGAGCCCCCTGTTGACTTCACTCTCTTATTGAGCTTGACAGTCTTCCCCAGAACATTGTTGTCGAGCAGCATCGATGGTAGTACTTAATGCTCCCTTATGTGCCTCTATTTAATTTAATCGACTGCTGACCCGAAGTTTGTGGCTTCGATTCCGGCTGTGGTGGTTGTATTTCGATGGAGGCAAAACGGTAGAGGTCCGTTTGCTGTGCGATGTCAGTGAACAATAAATAACACCAGATAGTCTAACTTCTGGAGCCCTCCACTACCTCTCTCATAATCATATCTTGATTTTGGGATGTTAAATCCCAGATATTATTAATGTTATTCACTTCATTGACAAAACTTTCAAGAAAGAGACACAGGCGAAATGGTAGGCGGGACTTGCTGACCTACATAGCGAGTTTGCAAACAAACTCGCCACTTACCCACATGGGAACAGGCCTCAAAACATGTGAAATGTGCAACGAGCAAGTGTTTTTAAGGCCCACCCAACACACTCAGGCATAGTTAATCATCATTATCACCAACAGCATCAACAGAGTGTATAGCTGTGAAGGTGCGCATGGCACCTTAAAGACCTGCAGTGCGCACTTACTGACGCTACTTGCAGTGGGCATTCTAGAATAGTTGGAAGCGACCAGTGTTACGCACATGGACGTTAATTTTCTTGAGGCACAGCTGAGTGAACGAGATTATGTAAAAGGGGCCCAAATACACGGTCGCACTCCTCTCTTGAAGGCAAAACTCAAGTGTCCTTCAAATTTTTGCCCATAAATTATGAATGCGCTGTAACAAATACGAGTAATGATCACTGACATCTAAAGTCTTTACTGGCAATTATGTATAGCTGTCTATGACATTGCTGAGGCCCTAAAAAACAATTAGCTGTGCAGCACAAGATTGCATGTTGCCCTGAGTCATGTTTATGAGTACTTTAGATAGTTCAAAGAAAATAAGCTGGGGTCTGCTCAAGTTTAAATTATCGAGAGCCTTCTGTGTATAGTGCAGTCAATAAAGCTGAAAACAAATCCCAAGCACACACAATCAGTTTGTGAACTTGTTATCTGAAACTTTGTTCTTGAGCAACTAGAGGTGAGCAAGTGGCAACATTGTCACTATTGCACTGTTAATTATCATTATGGTTCACCAACTCACTCACATGTCAATTCTGTAATGCCTGTATATAATACAGCCTTCTTGCATAAAACTTAAATAAGTCAAGCTTTAGCATTGCACTTCATGTCCTTCAGTATTGCTATTAATGTCACTAAGCAAGTTCCTTCGCATTCACATTGTGAAAGCGTGGGCATGTAGCCCATTGGTTCAGACAGTCATAACACGAGGGCCTTGGTTCAAAGCCAGCCCCACCAAAATAATTTATTTTGTTTTATACATTTTATCTGGCGATCATCTTGCATTATTTTTTCTCGATGCATTTAAAATAAAAACATCAGAACTACTCTGACCATGACACAAGCATGCAAGAAGATGTTGGTAAAAACAATCTCCATTCTATCATAACCAAGAATGACTGGAAGAAGATCCTCCACTTCAGAGATTCAGGCGACTAACATGCACCTCCTTAGTTGTTCTAGCAAGGTTTCATGCTGTGCCTGACTGGAGGGTCAAGCATCTGTTGAAGTGCATTGCACTTATTAAAGGGGCCCTGAAACACTTTTTCAAGTAACCATGGAATGAATTCACTGGAAGAGTTTACTACCTCATGAATTCAACGCCGCAAAAATTTTAAGAATCCATCGAGTGAGAGTGGAGTTAAAAAGATTTGTCGCATGCTGCAATGGCATTATCTTTTTTCTCGTCACGATGAAAGCGCTGGAAGCTAAGCAGGGAGGGATGGCAGGTGCAAAGAAAATACCTCACACGTGCCTCGTGACCTTGAGCACTTTTTTTCTTTTTTTCTTCTTCGAATGCGTGGCTTTTTTAATGTGATCGCGCGCACGCGTGGACAAGTCGCAGCCTCCCGCGATGATCTCTGTAACGGCTGAGCTCGCCATGTTCAAATCAGCCATTAGCTGATAGATTAGATAGATAGATGCGATGGATGGATGGATGGATGGATGGATGGCTCTATGAGTGATTTTTGAGCATCTTCCGTCACTTGTCGAGAGAAGAAAAAGCCATTTTTAGCAGACTGATAATTTATCATGAATTCAAGGTCGCATGCTGTGCTATAATATTTGGCTCACGTGTTCTCGGGAGCCTCTACTACTGATTGGCAGCATTTTCTGACCATGCTCAAAAAGTGTTGCGGGGCCCCTTAGTGCAGTTGTGGCAAATGTACAACGCAGTCCATCAAAGAACATCCTCAACTCTATCGGAACGGAGCTCCTGGACATAGCTGGCAGGAAAGACACCCCAGTGACCATCTTTTTCACCATGCCACCAGCCATCTTCGGCACGGCTGTGCACCGTCACCACATCACCTGGAGCAAGAAGCAAACAAAGTGGCTTTGACAAGAGTTGCACTTATTGATTGGTCAGTCATGGACAAATCATGTGGATAACTCATGGGTACAGTTGCAAAAAATTGTTTGAGCACGGAGAAACTAACTTGTCCGCATGCATATGATTCTGAAGGTGGGATGTCATCAAACAAAAAAACATTTGGTATTCACAAGCCCTTGCAGCAAAGCACCAGTGGAATGCTCTAACAGCATCTCCCAAGGGTCCCTATGAACCTGCACTGCCATACCAAGACACGTTCACCCTAAAAATGAGACAACCCTGCACATTTGAGTGCTCAAAATCGGTAAGTTCGATGAAGCTGAAAGACCCCTTACACCCCTGCTACCAGTCACCAATCGGGCATAAGTGTGTGCAATGCCACAAGTTGTTTCTTCACTTTCGAGACAGACCTTGTGTAAAGATCCCACCTGAAACATGCTTTCAGCTGCAATTTCAGCTGCGGTTAGCAGCTGTGAGCGCTAGTCAGTATTGTTCAAGCTGGGCTGACTAACACTCCTTAGTTTAAATGCCGATATATGCGATAAAGTGCACCATAAAAGAACTGCCACCATAGTTATTGGTACAGAATTGAATGCATCATTCATAGGTTGCAAATTCGGTCCCCGCCCACGAGAAGTCGTCCTATCGTATACTTCAATATCTTCGACAGATATGTGGGGTTTAACGTCCCAAAACCGCCCACCTTCCTTTTTTCTCATTTACAGTAAAACCTCATTAATTTGAACTTGGTTATTTCAAAATCCCACTTAATTCAAAATATTTTGCGGTCCTGTGTTTTGCAATGTAAGTCTGAGCAGATAATTTGAAGCGGTGGTTAGCACCAGCCCGGTTAATTCAAAAACTTTGGGTGCCATGTGCTAATTTTTTATTTTGATTTTGCCGCAAATCTGTGGAAGCGGCAGTCTTTAAGAGCCACAATGCAATGAAACAGCAATATTAATGAGTGGCAGCTAAAGCACCCCATCTTTGCAACTTTTAACTACAAAAAAATTTTAACTGAAATGTGGGCCAGTGCACACGCACGCCTGCTCACGCGTCACCACTGTTGCTTCTCACATCAGCGCATCATATGATTTACTCATTTTTTCTGGAAATATTAAGAAATTATTAAAGAGCAGTTTGGCAAAATCCACAATGTATGCGAACGTACAATTGCCCGCTTCTCCAGCAATTTGCGCACTGGCACTGCTGGCAGAGCTCCTGCCTGCAAGGCCTACTTCTAAAACCAAGTTTCACGATTATGTTTTCCAGCCTAAACACGTCACAAATGTTGTCACATTGACGATCATTAAATTACTTACTTTACCAGAACGAATGGGCGAATGGTCACATCATGACATGCTGACGCAGCGAAAAGCGCGTGACATGCTGCCCGCTTGTCACTACTGTGCTGCAGCGAAGATGTCTTGTTTTTCCACAGGCGCACATTTTAAGTAATTGCACCTTTTTCTTTTTTTGGGTTGCAGAAGTGACGCTCGTTGTTTCCTCGTGTTTACGGCAAAACTAGAACCAGGTATTGCTGGAGAAAATAACCTTTGGAGCTGCAAACTAGCCAGTGCAGCAAATGACCAGCCCTAGTTACTTTGCGTAATTCCAAGTTTCTTGCATCCCACTCTTTGTGTGTTCTCTTAATTTAAAAACCTGCCTAATTCAAAGATTTCTCATGGCACCAGTGACCTCGAACGAGTGAGATTTTACTGTATATTGTAACGATTTTGAAGGACTTAGGGGTGTTATAAAATGTATTTATTAAAGGGCGAACCTGTGCCCACAACTCAAAGGGACTATGGTCGTAGAACAATACAGCCGAACATCAAAGATGTCCGCCTTCTTCTTCCTCTTCAAGAGAAGTCCCGAGCGCGTGGTGCACATCAGCCGGGTCCAGCTGGGTGCTCGTGCCATCATCGTCGTGTCTGCGCAACACTAGATGGCTCGCATGTATGTCCCTGTGCGCGCGGTGATAGGCGCGTTGTTTGAATGCAGGCAAGATGTCGCGGCGTAATCCCCTTTCTCATACGCATCGTCCCGATGCGTCATGCAAAGAATATATTCGTGATAGGCGTCACTAGTTTTCCGATGATCTTTCATAGTAAGGCTTCATCCGGACTACATGTACAACCTCTGTAGGGTTGCGGCGTTTTAAACTTCCGTGTATAGCGTATCTGACTTGGTACGTTTCAACGCTTACACGATGGAGTACTTCGTAAGGCTCGAAGTGTTTGAATGCAGGCAAGATGTTGCGGTAATATCATAATTACTTCAAGAAAAATCCCCTATATTTTTGTTTGTCATTAATATTGTGTCTAACAAAGAAAATGAGCTCTACGGTCTGCTTCTTGAGTCCATTTCTAAAAAAGTGTGATAGTTGAAGTACTACGTAGACTGACTTATGCAAGTGCATTACGTGTCCTTCTTGGCATTAAAGCAACATGCTCACTTTTTATGGAGTAAAAGTAAAGCCCCATTACAAGATTCACTGTAGTACCCAGGAAACGCAAAGGACCAGGACCCATAATTCAACTTGGACTAGAAGACGGCATTAAAGTCCAAGCAGCACCTATGTCTGCTTGGCATTGTTTGGCTTGCAACGATTTGAACAGCCATGTCCCACAAAGATGTAGACCAGAGACTTACTGGTTAAATCCAAAGCGACAAGCACTATGAGACCGCGATGGAAATATACCTCAGCGGCACTCTGTCCATAGTCATTGTGGGAGTGCAACAGCGATAACAAGATCATAATTACAGGAAGTTTGGGGCATTTTGTAGCCGCAACCACATGAAGAATGACATCTGACTGCAGAAAAGAACAGAATGGGATGAAAATTGCGGCACGTCTAGGTTGGTACTACATTGGCCACATCTTCTAAATAATTTAATAAAGACCAGAAATGTTCTGGAGAAGCGAGGGCCTTTTGTAACGTGGCGAGCATACGAAAACGAACCCCTATGCTTGCTCTTGAAAACTAACCAAACCATGCCACATGTCTCTGACAACTGGGCATCAAGTGGGACATTTTGCTGAAAGCAAGCCAATGAGTACAACAAATACATTCTCTTGCACAAGTGATTGAAACACCAAGCAGTGCGTTAGAAAGTAAGGGATACCAATTGTGTTCCATTCCAGTACTCTTTCCTTGCTCCCCATAGAGGCTCAGTTAAAATATGAAGATTGTCAGTAAGAAGAGCACCTGAGCACAGACTGAGCTCGTCGTCCATGGTGGCCTTGTAGTCGTACAAGGCTCGGCACTGTGAGGGCAACACATTGGCGTATGGCTGCTCTTCTGGCTCCTCAACCTCAGCACCCCCATCGGCTGCCCCACGGTCCCACTCTTCGTCGGCACTGGAGGAACGCCGCTGAAGCCAGGGAGGGATCTTGAGCACTGTCTGTGCCAAACCCTGCAGCACCAAAGGTAGACTGGTACCCCTCAGCCTTAGCACTGGCAACACAAAAATTCAGATAAGCAAACCTTGCAGTCTTAAACGTCAATGCGTAAGCTTCCATGAAAAGATTTACTTTCAAGACAGGGTTCTAGTACAGCTGGAGTATAATTGGTCAAAAGTTGCAAAATTACTCTGCTCAATTCATTAGTGTGGGCTTGTGCAACCCAACATATGTTTACTTTTCTGCATCCTGGTGGCACTACAATTAGCAGAGCTCCACGATGTTGGCCAATGGCGTGCCCAAGTTTTCATACCAAGAACCTATGAGAAATCTTGTATGGCCAGCAGGGAATGAGAAGTGCCACTTCATAATGCTTGGAAAACGAGCCATACTTTACACACAACTTGCCTGTCGATCCCTGCGCTGCTCTAAATGTGGAGCCAGTGGGTGTGGCGGCCTTGGTTGACCGTCCAGGCCTGCAAGGCAGCACTGCACCTTGTGGCGAGATGCCTCTAGAAATGCCAGGCTCTGGCGCAACTGCACAACGACATCAAAGGAATCTCTCATCAAATCACAACACACTTCAAACACAGTGGGTGTGTTGTGAACAAAGGCCAACGTTTTAGACTGGTCAGAACCGAGTTTTGTGCTATGCAATACCCCTAGCTCTTCTAGTTTTGGTCATTGTGGGTGGATTATCAGACCACAGACTTCATTTCTGCTAGCAGTCTGCCTATAGCCAGTGCGCTTCGGCTAGTTCTGGTAATAATAGGGTTCTTCCTGGGCAAGAACAGACACATAAACATGTGAAAAGACACTGAATCAAGGAGTACGAGGTTTATGTTCGAATTTCAGACAGCTCTGGGATTCAAACTTTTTAAGTACAGTTCAGACTGAGAAACTCTCCCTTGAACTGCAGCAGTGCGCTGAAGTAGGCTGGTTGGTACATGATTAAGACTGAAAAAAACAGCATTGGATGGTGAAAGAACGACAGGCGAGGGTGTGGATGTTAGTTCAGCAACCTCGACTGTTGTTTTTTTACCATCTTGTATACTTTCACCGTCTCGTATCCTCTCCTATACCTCATCCTCTGCGTTACGAGGCAACCAAATGAATCTAACAGACATTTAGGCTACGAAAGGCATAGGGGACCTTAATTTTTGCCATTTAACCAGGGTGCGGCAGAGATACTCTGAAAAGTATTATGGAATACAGATATCGAAATACATGCACTATAAACCTAAAATACGGATACTGAGATACATTTGTCTTTGACGTAATGGGATTATTCACAATATACTTTGGAGAACAGATGAAATAAGCATTCCAGTATACAGATACAAGAATAGAAATACGATAGTACTAGTATACCCGTTTGGCTTCTAGAATACTGATGTCCTGCAAAGACACTCATTAGGCACAGAATAATATTGTGAATAATATCAAACCGCATCGAAACTTGCAAGTCAAGCATTTTGCTCAAATCACTAATGAACGCCAGTGAATAAAGAAAGCGTACATTTATTTCAGGCATAACATATGTATTGCTGAGATTATTGTAGCGTTTAATGCATTTCAGCAACAAAAGCTTCTGAAATAGGCTGTCATTTAGACAACGTTGGTTCAGCCCCATCATGAGACACTCAAGATGACTTGCCACCTGAAAACGATAAGGGTGCGACACCTGCCTTGAGGGACTACTGTTCTTGTTGGCAGCGCATCACAATAGGGCCTCTACGATTTTGCAGTCACAACGGCTGGTGTTTAACTTCATGCTTTATCATATAGCCACACCACTAACTGCTTTCACTTGATCATAAATTTGCACAGCTGTGCTAATTTTACCTCCGTTCGCAGCTCTACTTTGAAACTAATGAGGTCTGAAAAATTAGGCAAACAGAAGCTGCAAGGTGGTCAAAGTCATTGGTGTCACAGTCCATAGAGCTGAGTGGCTTGCGTGAGAGGCAGTCCACATATTTGTGTCATAGGCCACTCCTGTCATGCATTTCCAGAAAATCGAGCACTTTATTATTCAGAAAACAGACTTGCCTTGAAATGATAAAACCTAGGATCTGAGCACTACTTGAGAGCTTTGCCCAGGTCGATACCTTTGTCCATACAAAGCAATCTGGGCCGGTATTTTGTAGTAATGTCATCTCGGCCAACGATGAGAGAATTATCAATCGGCGCCGGACTAGCATAAGGCATTGATGCCACAGAGATGGGTTGCACAAACCTGCTGAAGCTTCTCTTGGACCCGCAACTGGGCTTCCTCATCACCAAATCGAGGAGATTCCCTGAAAGCCTGGGCTAGGGACTCCACACCTGCGCAACAAGTTTATTACAAGATCTCACCACCTGTTCTTTCATTTTTAATCCCCGAATTGCGGAGAAGGAATCTTAACTATGCCCCTATGTCCCTGCACCAGCCTCCCCCCCTTCTTTACAACTTTCAACAATGTCCATGTATTAGCTACCATAAAATCCCAAGCAAGCTCCTCAACTTCTTTTTTTCGAGAGATTTGCAATGTGCACCAAAAACAGAAAAAGTGCCCCCACCAACCCCTACCTCTATTTTCACTGTTTCATTCACTATTTTAAAAAGAGTGAATACATGCGTACTCAATAAAGTATTTAATTAGAATACCACGGGTGTGCACTTTTTCTTTTCAGGGGCTCTTCCTTCGCCATCTTGAATTTTGCTCCATGACTGAGCAAGGGCCCTCACTCCAAATCTAGTCAGATTACGTATCTTTCACCTTAGAGGGAGCATTTGCTCAGGATTTTACGGAAGTGTTACTTACAGCAGGTCAAACAGACATACTCAGCAATGCATGCAAAAATATTGAGTATTCTTAGCTAATGACTGTCAACCATCTTACACATAAACGTGTTGCTGGGTCATTTGGTCGATGATGCTGATGGTTACAAAATAGGAAAAAACTACAGGGCATGTATGAGAGAACTAGCATTGACACAGTTGAAAGCGTGCGCTTATCTCCTTGTCTAGTAACTGCAAAGTTTAGATCTGTGACCATTTAAAAGCGAAACATCATGTCATGTGCAAGTCCTCATAGGCTTTCCTAGCTGAGCTGATGTATTAGCTTGTCAAACAGCCCACAATTAATAAAAAAACAGCATTGTAAGGGTTCAAATCTGTTATTTGGTCACACATTCAAATCATTAGGCCACAAACACACATGTACCTGCACACTAGTTCTTTCAGCGAACTCATGCTTGTGTTGCATTACATAGATGCATGTAGGTACATGTAAGCAAGTTTTACACACAGAAACATCTAGTGCAATCTTTCTTTAGGCTAACTAAACAAACGCATGAGGCACTACATGAAAGAATAAACAGTTGAGATCCACCCAGTCACGCTGTGCCTTTTCTTGCCTTCTGCGAATGTTCTGTACCACTTGGCTTGCACAAGGTTTTCTAACCCATGTTCATAAATCTCTATGCATACATGTGCACACACAAGCATGGGCGACTGTGTCCACCTTCGAAATACTATTATTCTGGAATATTTAGCACGGTATGGTTCATGGCACCACGAGAGTAAACAGGAAAACGTTAGCCAGCCTTACACAAATGGTGTCAATGAAGGTGTACAACCATCTTGTTATAGTATGTCGGCATCATTACTATGACATAAATGGCAAAATGTTTCTATGTGCTGGATAACTTGTGGCATAAGAAAGAGTATGGTAATAGTCAAAATGATGTTATTTGTTTGCACTGTTGCAAGTGTCTTTAGCATTGTTTTCGTTGCACTATCAGTTATTTACTGTGAATCAACTGTACTTCGTACAATATTCTACTCTCTGACCACAGAACATTTCTGCATTGTGCAGATATAGTATCTCTTATCAAATAAATAAAACTGAATATGAAATAACGGGACATTGATATAATTCACTACATGTCTGCTAGGTTAAGCACACTTCAACATGCTGGCGTGCTGAAAAAAGATGTGATGGATGAATTGATGAGCTCATCATTAAAATGAGCAACATATTTTGATTATGATGCATTGTTCTGCCTCGCTAGCTCACAAAATCTGTGCAAGACTTCCATGATTTCTTTTTAATTGTTTCTCTTCTAATTGAGTAGTTGAGCCCCTTTATAAGGGACATGCATATACGAGGGGTCCCTTATGTCATGACTGATGTGAGGACGTAAATTCTTGTACAAAAAACAGCCTGTTTGCACAACATTCATTGCAGAAAGATGTATACAGTCGAGCTATACAAATGGGTATAAGAGGCACCAGAAAGACTCCACAGAAAATGAAAATGTGCCCACCTAATATAAAAGAACCCCTCATATAAATGACAAGGAGGGAAGGAAGTATGTTTATTTACAGAAAGGCAGAGAGGTCGGCCTGAGCGATAGCTTGCTCTAGCCTGCTACTCTACACTGGGGGAAGGGAAAGGGGAAAAGAAGGATTAATGGATGTGATGGTGAGATAGAGAGGTGAGTATGTAGTGTTCTTTCTAGCTGAGACACATTTTATAGCCGCGCACATAGTCCAGTTGTTTCTAAAAAGGTAATAACTGCTCTTGTGACCGCAGTTGCACTGTTGGTGTCTGGCCAAGGGCCCAACATGGTCTCATCAGTTAATGACCTACTGCGATATTGTTCAGTAGAAGAAATCAGTGTTTGTCGTTCACGTGCGTATGCTGGGCAGACACAAAATATGTGCTCAAGTGTTTCTGACGCATCACAGTGTTCACAATTAGGACCGGTGTCACTGCAACCGATGATATGTGCGTAACGTCTGGTGTACGCTACACCAAGACGAATGCGGTGGATCATACTTGTGAGTTGCCGTTTCAATTTAGGGGGCATGCGGAACCTCATTTCCGGGTCCCATTTGTGAAGTCGCTGGTGTCGCCGTTCCGGTTTGGTCCAGTGCTGAAGTGTGTAGCTGCGCATCACGCAGCGAAGCAGGGCGTTCGTGTCAGCTCGTGAAAACGCAATGCGTACTTCAGGGGCACTGCTTAAGGCATTTTTAGCTTGAGCGTCTGCCTCTTCGTTTCCCATCACGCCACATGAGCGGGAATCCACTGGAAAATTATAAGATGGCCATTTGTTGAAGCAACCTGAATAAGTTCTGTGATTTCTATTGCCAAGCTGTAATATGGACCTTGCTTCATGATGCAATTAATGGTTTACAAAGCGGGTTTGGCATCACAGAAAATCGTCCAGGCTCGAGGTCGCTCGCCGGAAATAAACCTTATTGCCTCTCAGATAGCGACAAGCTCTGCGGCAGTTGATGTCGTTTTATGGTCCACTTTGACTCGTCGAGCGATATCCATGTCTGGGATGACAAAGGCTGCGGCGGAAGTGTTTAGCGTGGTGGATCTGTCGGTGTACACGTGCAGAGAATCACTGTACGTTGTATAAATGTGATATAGGGTCAGTTGTCTGAGGCCAACAGAAGAAATGAGCGACTTCTTCGTAATTCCAGGTATCGTAAAAGAGATAGGTGGTTTAGGCAGAACCCATGGAGGCACTGCAGGGGCATTTGGCGGAGAAAACCTTGATGGTATAATATTTTCATGCCGCAATATTACTTTTGAGAAACTGCAATCTGGGTGAGTGGCGGGTAGTACTGACAGTGGGTGCTGTCTGTGTCTGCTCAGTAATCGGAGGTGAACTCTAAGTGGCTCGCAGAGCATGTATACACTGATGGGACAAGCCCAAGCCTCTGCCATTGTCCCATTTGTTGAAGTGCAGCGTGGTAGACTCAAGCATCTTCGTAAGCATTGAGCTTGAACACTCTCGAGTGTCTTCACACAACTAGGTCTCATATTGGAAAGCACCGGCATGCTGTATCGAATGTATCTCACAAATAGAGCATTGTATAATTGAAGTAGCGATGATTCTGATGGGCCCCATCTTGCTCCTGCTACGTGGCGAAGAATGAGAGCAAAGCTCTTCAATTTAGATTTAAGTACGGCGACATGCCTCGTCCACGATAGATCTCTGTGTACGACAACCCCAAGGAACTTGTGGTGCGTTACAGCAGGCATCGCTGTCCCATTAATAAATATCGGGTGTTGCGACATATGCTTGCGCGTGAACGCAAGCACTGCGCATTTGTCGATTGAAAGAGTGAGCCCCTGACGTCGTAGATATTTGTATGTGATCGTCACTGCACGCTGTAGTCGAGCTCGCAATTGCGAACGAGTAGTTCCGGATGCCCATATGCATATGTCATCAGCGTATGCAGTGATCTTCACCGTGCTGGGAAGTTCTGCTGCTAGGCCGATCATTATGACATTGAATAGGATCGGGCTGAGAACTCCTCCTTGGGGAACACCACGATGAACCTTATATCGATCGGTGTCTCCATTACTTGTCGTCATGTAAATGGTGCGGTCCCTAAGGTAGCTAAAAATCCAAGCGTACAGTCGTCCACCGATGTCGAAATCTTCCAGTGTGTCAAGGATCGCATAATGCAGCACATTATCGTAGGCACCCTCAATGTCTAAGAATACCGCCGCCACTAGTCTGCGTCGGCTTCTTTCCTCTTCAACGCTGGTGATCAAGTCAACCACACCATCAATGGCAGATCGGCCTCTTCTGAAGCCGTTCATAAATGCAGGAAAGGAGTTGTTGCTCTCTAGAAGCCACTCTAATCGTGCCAGTACCATTCTTTCCATCACTTTTCCGACGCAGCTGGCTAACGCGATTGGTCTGTAGGAGGAAAGTGCATAAGGACACTTCCCCGGCTTGAGCAATGCAATAATGCGACTGCATTTCCAGTTAGCTGGGACTTCTCCTGACTCCCATGAGGTGTTATAATGAGATAACAGGATACGTCGTGCTTCTGTATCAAGATGGTTGAGTGCAGCATACGTGATTCCGTCAGGTCCTGGTGCCGATGATCGGCGGGAGGCAGAAATCGCAGCATCAAGCTCATGTATTGTAAAACGTACATCAAGGCGCTCGTCAGACGATGGAGGCGCAATGGTAGTAAGAAGCTCATTAGTGGCAAGATCATCAGTGGTGTCCACGATGAGGCTACAGTAGTCCCTGATGTAGAGCAACAGCTTGAAATGGTTGACGTTGTTGGGGAGTTGTCTGCAAACTTCGTACCACCCGCCAGATCTTGGATAGAGGTTGCCTGGGGTCCAGAGATCCACAGAAATTTCTCCAACGTTGCCTGTCAATCTTGTCAAGATGCCGAAGAACATGTCGTTGAGCTCGACGACAGGCGGAAAGGTCTGAAGGTGACTTCGTTCGTCTGTATCGGCGTTCGGCACGGCGACGGATTGCACGAAGGGCCTCGTATTGGGAGTCAACTGCTGATCTCGGCATCGGTAGGTTAACCTGTTTGGTTGTGTCACGCAGTGAAGAAGCAATGATGTTTTCTACCTCGGATGGATCAGTCGTGTGCTCACAGCCAGACTTGACAGATGCCTTCAACAGTGTCCAGTCGGTTTGACGGATGTAGCGTGTGTGCGTGCGGCGAAACCACCTGAACTGAACATAGGTTGGAAGGTGGTCACTGCCGCGAGTGTTCAAATCTGTGCACCAACATGCGGAAGACAGAAGGTTTCTGGAAACGAAACAGAGGTCGAGGCAGCTGCTGTAGGACGTGCCACGAACAAATGTAGGTGATCCGTCGTTGAGTACGCTTAGTCCATAGTTGTATATAAAATTGGCTAAATCCTTTCCGCGATAATTCGTTGTAGTGCTACCCCAGAGAGGATGATGTGCATTAAAATCGCCGATCACAATGTGTGGCCTTTGCGCCGCTTGAAGAATGGTCCCCAGGTGGAAGCAGTCCATCTGTGCGCTTGGGTGTATGTATCCTCCTATTACGGAGAATGTTCGCTTTTTATGTGTTATAGTCAGGCTCACGTAATCATTGCTGGTATGCGACGCGACTTCATGTCTCAAGAACGTCAAATCACGGCGGTTACAAACGAGAACTTTGCTCGTACGTTGATCACTGCAGGACCAAATCTGGATATATCCAGATATACGAAAAGGTGAAACCATATTCGGTTCACATATAACGATAACAGGAAATTGATATTTAAAAACCCATTGTCTGAAGTCTGACAGACGGCCACGTAGGCCACGAGCATTCCATTGCATAACAAGCGACTGGCGCATGCGTTCTTCGAACATCAGTGCCATGTTCACTTACTAAAGAACCAGTAAAAGAGGCTCCAAAACCTCAAGTAGCTGCACAGCCGCCTTAGCAGCGGGAGTGTTTAGGCTGCTGAGAATCTTACGCATCGAACCCATCAAATTTTTAAGCATAGCCTTGACATCTGTGTTGTCCATCTTCTTGTTTTCTTCATTGGGGGTAGGGCCACTATGTGATGATGGCGCTACCGTAGCTCTTGACGGTAGTGAAGGCCACTGAGTCTGCGACGTGGGGAGAGCCAATGACTGGTTACATTGTACTTGCGTGGACTGTATTGGCATTTGAGCATCTGTATCCTCCTTTCTGGCCGACAAAAGTAGGCTAGGAGGTGGTGAGGGCACGGTTTTGTGTGTCGAATTCGATAAGCTATGAGCACTGCTGCTTCGTTTGCGCCGATGTCGCGAACGATGTTTACGGCGCCGTACAGCCCATGCAGCTTCTCTGTGAGTGGAGTGGTCTCGAACCATCTTCTTCAGGATACTAATTTCATTCCTCATTTTGGGACATTCCCTTGATGTTGCGTCGTGTGCGCCTGAGCAGTTTGGGCATTTGGCCACAGCATTGCAGTTATCACCATCATGAGGGCCACTGCAATGCTTGCAGGTTACTGCACCCTTGCAAACTGCACTAACGTGCCCAAATTTCATGCATTTATGACATTGCAGAGGTTTTGGTACGTAAGGACATACCAAGTGCCTCACGTACCCAACTTTTACATGTGTGGGTAACGTCTTCGACTGAAACACTACTTTAACACATCGCGTGCGTCCAAAGCGGTGGAAGCCAAGCACGGGAGCCGACGATGACAGCAGTTTCTCGAGACTCGAGTCTGTTATTTCCTCATCCACATCGTATATAACTCCTGTTGTCGTTTCTTCGTCGTACGCTGAGAATGCCCGAACCGGAATATTTCCTAATCAAACAATCGCTTTCAGCGTGTCCATTAAGGCCTCCGTAGTGACCTCCACGGACAGTATGTTCTTTCGGGTATTTATGCGTATTTCTACGACTTTCCCTGGAGCGATGAGCTCAAACTACTCTGTCAGGCTCTGCCTATTTAGAGAGTTCAAGATGTCTGTCTTCGATGACGGCACATACGAAATGGTGTACGACCGCATGCTACTTGCCTTTGTCTGTGCTTGCCGGCTAGTGGGCGATGTCCGGCTGATTTTCCTCTTGAGGCGTCGGCTTGGTACGACCACGTAGTCGCTGTCCGAAGCCATATCTTCAACGGAGGAGTCATCAGAATTGTCATCGTGGGCCCCGCTTGGGCCGGGGCCCACGATTGACAAAAATTCCTCCCTGGTACATGTCTCTTATAAAGGGGTTCAACTATACATGCAAGAGCGAAGACAGATGGAAATAGCACCAACTTGCAACTCATTTTAGTGCACTGACATATCTATCTGTTTGTAATAACTCTTTTTTTATTTATACTGCATTTCGATGTGCTTGTTTGTGTTGGTGCAATAAGAGAAGCTGCTAGTTAGCACTAGGTTTGCTCTCGTTCATTTTTCTGCATAGCTTTTTACACCAATACTTCGTTTCAAGCATGATCCAACTATTCCAATGTTTGCTAAACGTGTTAATCCTGGTGCAATACTTGAAACCAACTCACCCTGGAACAAGTCCCTCCAACCAGTCCAACACCGCTTTTTGTTGCGAAAGCCTTTCCATTAGTTTGCGATCACGCATTACTACACAGCCCTTGTCGTCAACATGTACAAACCTTGCTTCCCTCGCCGCTCTGTATCCAGGTCCTTTTGTAGCAGCTGCAATAACCTCTCTAGGGCTTCCTTGCGTCTCTGGGGCTGCATGGGACTTGAGAGATCTTCGGCCTGCGTAGTGTGCATCGCAAGTACAGTGACAGTCCCCAAAGATTGACGGGTGCATTAGCGAGCCTTCAATCATGCTGTCATTGCAGAAAATAACATATCTCAACAGTGGGCAAACAGGTTGTGTGCCTGAGCAGAGGTTTCGTAGAAGTGGACTTGTCTTCTTCAGTTCAATTTTTTAGTCAGGGTATTAATCGTACCCTCAGAGCAGCGGTTCTCGATCCCTAAAACAAGCAGGTTGCTTCTATCTTTTTCTGGAGATTCACAAGCTTTCCATAGATTGCGCAAATCCCAGGCAGGAATCTAACAACAATACACCGACCCAGTTGCTAAATAAATTTCTAAATCATCGTTTATGTAGTATACCATCTACCCTGCAATCTTTTGTTAGAAATACACCTCATTTTCTTTGAAATAACAGATTCCATTAATGTAACACAGACACTCTCGGATCAGGTCATTCTGGTAAGATTAGATAACTGCTCCTCGTATATGAATGCTATACGTATAACTGAAAGGATTGAAGAGGTCTTCAAGTCACTCATGGAATGCAAGCAAACACATAGTGCTGAAGCATACCTCCAACTACTGAAATTAGTCCTCACACTTGCTTTACCACTTCCTTCTTCCCCTCCCTGCTATTTTTATGATTTCTTAAAACTACTCTTGACAGAGATTTGCTTTACAACACATGTTTTATAGCTTTCTTATTGATTTGTTTTTGCTTGCTCCAGATGTTTATATTTTCTTCCATAAGTACATTTAACCAGTGCTTGTCTCGTGTTCCTCCTACGTTGTTAGTTTGCGCTGTTTCTTTCCATAATGCAAGTGCCCCAACTGCCCATCCTTACTTACGTAGAAATCTGGCAGGAACTGCTCAGGCACATTGGGTGCGGTGCCTCTGAGACGCACAGCCTCTTCAATGTCTTGCTTAGCATCCACATTTGCCGCCTGTGCCTGCACACACTCGGCACACTGCAAAGACATTGTGGTCAACACTCAAAGGGTTCACCAAATAACAGAGCAATAGAGTTAGCAATAGACTTTCCTGCACTACATAATTGCAACAGAGCATTGAAAGGTGCTATCTGATCGGATGGTGGCAGAGCCAAACACCACGGTCACAAACTATGTATGAGACTGTGCTAATTCACGGCTGCGTTACCTCTGTGTTGGTCCTTGGCCATCATCCTTCAAGATGCACTCATGCTAGCAATAGACAGACATCCGCTATTGACAACAAGCAAGCTAGTCGCCATTACTTCTCTTTCCACGAGTTTCCATGAGTGTCAACCAAGTTTCATGACCTCTGTCAGTGAGCCCTTACATGGTACATACTCACAGCACATGACACTATCCAGTGTCATGCTGTGAGCGAATGCGAATGTTCTCCGAAGTCGCAAGCCATGCGACTTCGGGGAACATTCGCTATGGCCGCTGAGCATATATAAACAAAGTAAGCAGGATGAATGACCAAACTGAATGCCTGCCTAGTCCTAAAAGTACCATAAACAGCTTCCCTGCGTGCAATGTATTTACCAATGGGCATCACACTTAAAAAAAAAAAGGCTCTTCGAAGCAAAGAGGAAAACTGTTGTGTCACTGGTGTCTTCCAGTTTGAAATAGCTTTATTAATTCCCATGCCGCTGTATCCTTGCTTTTGACAAGACTCTGGTCCAGCTCTGGTTCACGATACTAATGTGCACAGCATTGCACAGACAAATGCACTCTGTCTTCACCTGTTGAAAATAGTGTTACAAGCGTTGGTAATGGACAATGCATGAAAAGAAAATGACAAAGCAGACAAAGTGGAAAACAAGAACCACGTTCAGCGTACTGTCTTGAGACCCCTATCAAAAAAGCGCCAGCCATTCAGACTTGCCTAGTTTTCTGACTTTTGGTCTGCCTTGCTGTAACATTTTGGTGGAGGTGCTAGGCACGTAATTTTCGGGATTGACTTTTTGCAGCCACATGGCACCAATGTTACCTGCCCAACAGATGAACTTAATCTCTCTGCAGAAGTGCCTAATCTGCACTCTTGGAAGAATTACCCCAGCAAAAAGCGTGTTTAGTGCTTCCGGAAACACAGTTGCGCCCACTTTATCCACGAAGCGTGTTCCTGTCGTTTGCTCGTCTTCTATTGTATTACTTCGCTTAATCCTTTAAAAGGACACTAAAGGCAAATATTAAGTCGGTGTTGATTACTGAAATACCGGCCCAGAAACCTTGTAGTGCTTTTTTTGTGCCATGGAAGTGCTTATTTTGAAATAAAATCACATTTTATTGGTCCGCATCGTGCAAGCACATTTCAAATTACCCGCCTCGAGTAGAAACTTTCACGCCACTGTTTCCATTCGCAACATTGCCCGGCTTTACTGCGCGGCCGCCCACATTAGTAGCAGCGGAGTGAAAGTAGAGGGAGCCGCAGCAGCAAAAACGGCCACTGAACGATTTTTCGCTAAGGCCTCCAAGATGGGATCGTGCCTTGTTTACTGGGCCCCGCTGGATGGCACAACCTGTACAGTTTAACCATAGAGTTTCCTATATATACACTAGAGGGAACACGGGCACTAGTGTTCATGGGAGCTGTAATGCATGGCGTTTACACTAATTTCTCGGTAAGAATGGCATTGTCAGTGTAGATGTTGTCAAGCATTTAGCTTTCACACTCACATAAATTGTTATCCGACTTTAATGTTATTTTGATGCCTGAATTATGAAACCGTTTAAGAAAAAAAGTTTGTTTTTCATTTTTCAGTAATAAAAACTTTTAACTCTGCAGTTAAACTGTCCAAAACATAACTTTATTGCATAGTTTAATGCATACAGAGATATGTTCAAGTCAAACTTTGAAAAGACAATCCTTGCTTGGGTCATCAGGCGATGGCATGATATATAGTCACTTGTTTAAATGAAAGTTTGACTACACTGTTTCCACAACGCTCATGCAACATCCTGTCTGTGATTGTGTGAGAACTGCAGACTACGCCTTATATTATAGCATATGTCTTGGGAGTCGACATAAATGTGACAGTGCCAAGAAATTGATCTAAATCATGACGAGGCAAAGCCAGTTTTTTGTTAGGATATTTCTGTGTCATAAAAAGATTGCTCTGCTCAACAATGTGACCCATGAAGGTAGCACCGAAATCTTCTGAAAATATTCAATAGGACCTCAGACAGTGTCACATTGAGGAAGAGCGGCTTTCCAATATGGAATTTGCTACTGTTCTTGATAAACTTTTTTTTCATCGCACTGTACGTTTTAGACACACACTTGGTTCAAGTACTGCATCTTCATCCTAACCGCTTGATGAAGGCACCCTTGCTTGTGCATGAAGATCAGAATCAATGTTCTCGTCATCACTGTCACCAAGATAGCTATTGTAACTTTTATCATCTCGTGGCAAGCGGGTGCAAAGCCCTATTTTTTCATAAAATAAGCAGACGTACATCGCCTATGAATAAATAAAACATGAACTTGTCATATCGGCAATCATCACTTACTGCTTAAAATGCCGGGTATCATCAATTTGTGACATACAACAAAAGCAAGGATCGTGCAACAAAAAAACCTAGTTCAGAATAATGTAACGTGTTGTGTGCAACCTCTTGGATGTGTGCACACAAAAATAATTTTATAGATGATTGAACTTGGGCGAATCAGGCAAAAAAAGAGCGAAGTGAGAGCTGCTGCACGTGCTTTGCGCACTCCGCCATCAGCTAAAGTACATTTGTTTTTAACTTAGAATACCTTACATGATGAGATGGCGCTAGGTGTCTCATGCTGAAAGGTACATTCGCTGCCAATACGTGACAGCCCATCACGTGTTTCAAGACGTGTGTGGTCAGCGTTTGTCGGTATGTTGCGAATTTGCAATACTTACCAGTAAAGGGTTAATGCTGACTGTTTTTCTCGCATGCCCCTTCCAACAAATCGATGCAATGCTGACAATGTTGATCTAAACATTGTTTTTGTGTCTTTTGAATATTTTTTTGGAATATGAATGGCTTCATATCGGAGTAGCACAAGGACAAGAGCTTACAGCTGCTTTCTGCTGCCATGCAGAAGTTCACTGCAGACAGTCGTATTCGCTTGCATGACAGTGTATTTTGCATGCACACCAGCAATGTCGCTTGCATGCACACCAGCTTTTGGTTGTTGCCAAGAGCTATGGCAGTCCTGTATTATGTGCAATGCATGATGAACGAACTTCCTGCCATTTTGGGAGCACAGGAGCGGTCCACTGCACTACTTTTACAGACACCAGTTGTACAAAGATACCAAACGGTACGATGACAGCTGCACCCAATCTCAGCCTTACAAGTGACCTGCTTGACGAGCTGTCTGGTTGCATTCAACCACTTTTGCCGCTTAGCACTCCTGAGAACGAGTTGGAACACATCATCTGGGCCCTTTCCCAGAATCCACAAAGGTCAATTATTAGGTTATCGTTTCCATAGATCACATGACCCATTGTGAGTCGGCAGCAGACATGGACCTCTTTGTATCGTACCACAACCATGGTCTGCAATGTACAGGGAATGTAGTCAAAAAAACCCTTTGTCTATGTCTATCTATCTTCTGTCACTCCACACCATACCATCCACAAACTGATGGTACAGTAGAACAAGCAAACAAAACGTTTCGCAACGTGCTGTCCATCTACGTTGTTCTTCCTTTCCACCTTTTTGACTGCCTGGCCATTTGTACTATATGTTGGGTAACTGCAAAAGCTCCTGACAAGAGCTTTTACAGATGGCCACACAAGAATTATTGGGAGTGTTTCATAGAGCAAAAGCCCATTAATTTGGAAAATCAAATAATTTCTCGGCCAGCATATGTAATGCTGAATAGCATCAAACTCTCGTTAAATAGCATCAAACTCTCGCGGTCATACTTGACCGCAACCCACGTAATTTGATTGATCCCCAGAATGCACTGTGTACGAAGGACCACAAATGTGTGACACAAAGGAGTTAAAATGGTGCTCACAGACAACCAAAAGTGGCAGTGCTGTCCGCATCAATATCTTCATTGATTAGTGGCTACGATGCTGTCCACTTGAGGAACCAGCACTCAGCAGCTCAATTTTAACCGTGCAGGGTTTTTACATTATGCAATGAGTGTGCGGTGTAACAATACATCAAAATGACGGAAACTTAAAATGAAGAGCTTTCAGCCAAGGTTGGCAAGCCAACATAAAACTCGTTCGCTGTGTTGCAATGAACGAGTTATCAGCTGCCAGTCATTCTACCTGTGAAAGAACTATAGTCACACACATGGCGATGATGGTGGTACATAATACGCAATGCATGGTCGTGGTGGTACGTAATAACAGGAGGAGTGCAGAGCACTTTTTAGCTTATTAAACATGGGAGTGTGGGACCATGGTTGTGCAGTGTACGAAGTCGCAAGACGACAAAGACTGCAGCTTTTACATTTCTATATTTTAGTATTCGGATATTTATCCCAGTCTTTTTAAATTCGTATTGAGAGCTTTTAAATATAACTTTTTACTGTATTAGGAAACTGGGGAGGGGGAATCATACATCACACATCGCTTTCTCTCTCTCCCTGTTTTAGAAAGTGTGTTGTTTGTAGGGCATGTAGAGAGAGTGCAAGCTCTATGCACCTTTAAGCAATCACAGTGACAGTCTTTGAGAGCAGCCTTTACCTGTGCGGTCTGTGGAGCCATGTGCATCAAGTGCTGTGCATAACGGGACAATGCGGTGTGCAGTGCCTGCAGGCGCTCTTCTTCCAGAGCCTGCAGCCAGCCCGCTGTCTGGAAGAGCAAGGTCTCCCACTCCTGGCGGGCCTGCTCGGCCGACATGCAGGCTGCATAGTATTCGCCTTCTGCCTTGCTCAGCGCATTCTCAGCCTTGCGCCGCTTGCTCTCCAGCTGACAAGGCAAAGAGATACTCATCAGTCTAGCCATGATCAATACCTTGGGTGTTGTCCCAAGTGGTGCTACATCAATGTCACATTTACTGAGCCAGGAAGACCAAAACTTCCTCAGAAGTTCTAGTGTCTTGTGTGCATATACTCCTATATAGATGTACACATGCAAACACATGAACAGCCATACTCTAACACTCTCACTACCGGAAAAAAAAAACTGTACCGAATTTACAGAGACATTTTCTTTTTCACTAAACTTTTATAGCTTTTTATTTTTTTGAGTAATATGGTACCAGTCTTTCACTTCAATGCGTTTCCTTTATTCCACCAGTTACTTTTAAAAAGACAAAACCAAAGGTGGTTTCACCATATGGCAATACAATGAAAAGTAGGAATAAAACAAAAGCTGAGACAGAAATGGTGCAACATGGACAAGTGTGGCAATCTAGCACCAATAAGCACACCTACCCAAGTATGGCCACCACTGGTTCCATGTGATACCAATTTTCGTTGATGACAAGTATGGTCACCATTGTTTACCTTGGTGCAAAGAAGAAGGAAAGCTGGGCACTTTCTATGCATTTATTTATTATTTATTTATTTAGCATACCCTGTAGGCCCTCCTTAGAGCAGGGGGTAAAAAGAGGCATACGGAGGCAAGGGGGAATGAAAACTTAAAACTGAGCTATATATAGGAAGGAAGGAAAACAGGGGGAAAGAACGGCACGGAGGATAACCAGCCTACAGGCAGTCGGTTTGCTACCCTGCACATGGGAGAGGGATGGGGGAGATGAAAGATAGAGAGCAGAGAGGGAAGAGAGAAACGCAGCACATTCGGCAGCACGCGCACACTCAGTCATAGTCCAGTCTTGTCTTTCGCGGTGTGTGACGTTGCTGTTACAGTCGCTTGTTCAAGCCCGTGTCGCGTAAGAATTTCAACAGAGCTTTCGTCGCCTTCTGTTGCAATGTCTTCTCTCGGGCACTTGACAGAATAGTGTCCACAGACATTTGGCTGTTGTCGATGCGCGCGAAAACGGACGCCAGTGACTGTCTCTGGATTTCATACAACGGACAGTCACACAGGATGTGGTGTAGCGTCTCTTCACAATGACAGGCATCGCAGAGAGCGTTATCGGCCATTCCTATGACAAAGGAATAAGATTTTGTAAATGCCACTCCCAGCCATAAGCGATGAACAAGGGTGGCTTCTCTTCGGTCGAGTCCAGTGGGCATGTGGAGAGCCATCAAAGAGGACAGGTGGTGTTGACGATTCGTATCGCTACTTGGTGGGCACCATAGTGAAGACGTGATTTCACGCGCAAGTCGCCGAAAATTACTAGCAGCATCGGTCCGCGAAAATGGTATGGCTCCTTCTCGTGTTCCTTCAAGGGCTGCCCGCGCAACAGTATCGGCATGTTCGTTCCCTATGATGCCGCAATGACTTGGCAGCCATTGAAGCGTCACATGATGCCCTTTCTCGTGTGAAGTGTGGAGAAGGCATCGAATTTCGAAAACAAGCTGTTCGTATGGCCCGCGACGCAGTGCTGAGAGCACAGATTGTAGGGCAGCCCTTGAGTCGCTGAAAATAGACCATTGTTGTGGTGGTTCCCGATTGACCACACGAAGTGCAGCGCGCAAAGCAGCTAGTTCCGCTGTAGATGCCGTGGAGTGGTCCATCCTAAAGCTGATGGTAACACCTTTTGCTGGGACAACTACTGCCCCTGAGGAAGAGTGGCGGTTCGTGGACCCATCGGTGTATACATGTATGCTGTCTGAATATTTCTCGTGCAAAAGAAGAAGAGACAGTTGTTTCAGCACAGGCAACGATAGCTCAGATTTCCTCCAGATCCCTGGTACACTAAGATGCACTGTGGATCGAATAAGACACCAAGGCGGCATGGATGGTTTAGATGCAGGAGTGAAGCCCGAGGGGAGTTCATCGTTGTATTTCACAATCATTTTGACGAACGATGCTTGGCGCCTCTCTGAAGGCAACAGTGCAAGGTGATGACAGGGAGCACGTGCGAAGTGTCTGATGTGCGTTCTCAGGACTTCTACAACAATGTGAGTTTGTATCGGATAGTCACCAGCAATTGGAATTGTTGCTTCCATTGACGTACATCTGGGCAGACCGAGGCACACTCTCAGCGCTTGGGCTTGTACTGCCCGTAGAACACGAACATTGGTCTTGCAGATATTGCTAAGCACGAGCAAGCTATATCTGAGGAAACCGAGAAACAGGGCTCTGTAGAGCTCCATCATTGCGTCTACTGACATCCCCCCCATTTTTCCTGCCAGGAACTTGAACAGTTGGGAAATAGCGGTCAGGCGCTTCTTCATATAGGTCACATGCGGACTCCAACAGAGGTCCCTATCAATAATGATGCCCAGAAACCGGTGGGTTTTGGCGTAAAAAATCAGTCGCCCGCAGATTGAGATGACATAAGGGGTCATTGCTTTGCGAGTGAAGGCCACCAGCGTGCATTTTTCTGGTGATATGCTGAGACCTTGTTTTAACAAGTAGTCGGCAATCATAGTTGCTGCTTTTTGAAGCCGGGAACGTATCTGAGGACGTGTGACTGCCGAAGTCCAGACACAGATGTCGTCTGCGTATATTGAGATGTTAATGGTGCTTGGCAAGTATTCAGCAAGGCCAATTAGTGCAAGATTGAAAAGCGTCGGGCTAAGAACTCCGCCTTGAGGAACACCCCTGGAAGTATAGCGTTGCGTAGTTGGGCCATCTTCTGTTAACACAAAGAATGATCTTGCAGCCAGGTAACTTGAAATCCACCGAAAGACTCGACCACCAAGGCCAACCACTGCAAGAGCACCCAAAATGGCTTCATGTAGTACATTATCATAAGCGCCTTTCACATCTAGAAACAGAGCTGCAGATAGTCGCTTACGGGATCTTTCGTGCTGAATGTACGAAACTAGATCAACGACATTGTCAATAGAAGAGCGGTCGCGTCGGAAACCAGCCATTGAATTCAGATAAATCTTGTAGTATTCAAGATACCACTCCAGGCGGCCTAGTATCATCCGTTCTCTTATTTTCCCTATGCAGCTGGCCAGTGCTACTGGCCGGTATGAGGCGAGTTCGAGTGGGGATTTGCCCTGCTTCAAGATGGGTAACAAGCGGCTTACTTTCCAGTCATCAGGAACATTGCCATCCTGCCACGAGATGTTGTAGAGGTTCAACAGTTCTCTCCTTGCACCTTCCCCAAGGTTGCACAAGGCTCGGTACGGAATACCATCTGGGCCCGGAGAAGTTGAACACCTGCAGAGAGCTAGTGCCGCCTCGAGCTCCTCCATTGTAAAAGGGAGGTCCATGTGGTAGTCACGGGAACGGGGGACGTCACCTCTCACTAGAGAATCTGAACGAGTGGCTTGGTTGGCGATCTGTGCACAGAAATCTTCTGCGACATCGATGTCTTGCCTCCTTTGAAATAGCGCGAGCGCTATGAATGGAAAGCGCTGTTCCGTGGGGTGACGCAGACCTTGCACCATTTTTCAAATGTGTGAGAGTGGCTTGCGAGGGTCTAGTGACTGGCAAAACGTTGTCCATCGTTCCGACGCTAATCTATCCATGCGACGCCAAATCTTCTTTTGCATCCTCCTGGCTGCCCTAAGATCGTGAATCGATTTTGTACGCCGATACCGACGCTCCGCCCGGCGTCGCAGTGCTCGGAGTCGCTCCAACTCTATATCAGAGTCGTTTCGTGTGGAAGATATCGTCACCGTGCGAGTGGCGTTCTGCATTGTGCTCCTAATTGTTTGCTCTAACCCAGATCGTAGGCCATCGCTGCAAGCATCTTCCATGTCGAATTTGAAGTTGGTCCATTGGACTGCTCGAATGGTCGTCCATGGACCATAACTAGACAAGCCTTTGAAGTTAAGGTAGACTGGAATGTGATCACTTTTTCGTGTCTCAACATCTGGAAACCACTGCCGTATGTCACCCCTCGAAGAAAAGTGGGGCTGCCGTCGTTGAGGAGAGTAAGGCCATAGTTGTAGGCGATGTTTGCTAACCTGCGTCCTCTTGCATTTGTCCGCGTACTTCCCCATGCGTGATTGTCAGCATTGAAATCACCTATGATGACCCATGGTGCAAGACACACTCTCAAAATATCCGCTAATCTCCTGGAATTGAGATTATTCGACGGCGATATATAAACGCCTATGAGAGTAAACATGAGTTTGTTCTTTTTCACAGTGATGCAGACATACTGATTGTCATCGTGAGGTGCAATTGGTTGCACAACATACGTAAGTTCACGACGAACAAAGACGATGATTTTGCTGCACGCACCATTCGTTGAAGACATGACAGCTTCGTACCTCGACAGTCTTATTTGTTTCGACAAATTGGGTTCACAAATGACGATGATTGGAAACACGTTGATAAACACAAACTGACGAAAATCTGAAAGGCGTGATTTTAGTCCTCTGGCGTTCCATTGGATGATGAATGCAGCCTTGACTTCTTTACGAAATGATGAGGTGTGAGTAGCCATCTTCCTAGTTGAGAGATTCAAGCACTGGGCTTAGGGCGTCCAATAGTCCAAGTGCGCTTCGAGCAGACGGTGTCTTCATGTCGACTAATATCGCTCGGATGGCTTCTATGGGGGAACGCAGCACCGAGATTACTTGACGATCAGTTTTAGGCAAAGTTTTGGGCAAAATATAGATTCAACACAACATAATGGCCCTAATAAAGGTAAACACATTGATTATGACTACCAAAAAATACATCACCCATCTAATGCATATAAATTTAAATGGTTATGAAATAATGCTAGGTTTCAATTTAAAGCTTGTTGCACCTTTCATTTCCAAGACACTTAGTATTATAACTAATTGCATGTCCACAACGAGAATTTGAATTCACTAAAAGAAAGGCTAAAATTATTCCAGTATTAAAGAAAGGTGATATTAAAGAAGCCAATCAATGAGCTAGCACTGAGAGGGAAAGTACAGGAATTCAGAGTGTCGCTGCAGAACAGGTACTCGGCTCTTAGTGAGGAAACTAACCTTAGCGTAGATACAATGAATGATAATCTGACGAGTATCATTACAAAGTGTGCAGTGGAAGTTGGAGACAGGGTAGCTAGACAGGACACTGGCAAGCTTTCCCAGGAAACGAAGAACCTAATTAAAAAGTGTCAAATCATGAAAATGTCCAGTACAACAGACAAAATAGAACTGGCAGAGCTTTCGAAGTTGATTAATAGACGTAAAGTATGCGATGTAAGAATGTATAACATGGAGAGAATTGAACACGCTCTGAAAAACGGAGGAAGCGTCAAAGCAGTAAAGAGGAAACTTGGGATAGGCAAAAGTCGGATGTATGCACTAAGGGACAAAGAAGGCAAAATAACTACCAATATGGATAGGATAGTTAAAAGCGGAGGAGTTTTACAGAGATCTGTACAGTAGCCGAGACAACCACGACCTTAATACTATAAGATCTGCTGAAAGATGGAGGACAGATTGTGTTAGAAAAACTAGCCACCCTGTTTACGAGGTGTCTCCTGACGGGAAGAGTACCAGAGTCTTGGAAGAACGCTAAGATCATCTTAATACATAAGAAAGGAGATGACAAGGACTTGAAGAATTACAGACCGATCAGCTTGCTCTCTGTAGTATACAAGCCATTTACAAAGGTAATTGCTAACAGAGTAAAGAAAACATTAGAATTCAATCAACCAAAGGAACAAGCAGTATTTCGAACAGGCTACTCAACAATTGACCCCATTCATACTATCAATCAGGTAATAGAGAAATGCTCAGAGTATAACCAACCACTATACATAGCCTTCATAGATTACGAGAAGGCGTTTGATTCAGTAGAAATATCAGCCGTCATGCAGACACAACGGAATCAGGGCGTAGATGAAGTATATATAAACATTCTGGAAGAAATCTACAGGGGATCAACTGTTACCATAGTGCTTCATAAAGAAAGCAACAGAATACCAATCAAGAAGGCAAGAAGGGTGTAAGGCAGGGGGACACAATCTCCCCAATGCTATTTACCGCGTGCTTACAGGAGGTTTTCAGAAGCCTAGAATGGGAACAGTTAGGCATAAGAGTTAATGGAGAATACCTTAGTAACCTGCGCTTCGCCGGTGACATTGCATTGCTGAGTAACTCAGGGGACGAATTGCAACTCATGATTACGGAGTTAGACAAGGAGAGCAGAAAGGTGGGCCTTAAAATTAATCTGCAGAAAACGAAAGTAACGTACAACAACCTCGGAAAGGAGCAGCGCTTCGAGATAGGTAATAGTGCACTTGAAGTTGTAAAAAACTATGTCTACTTAGGGCAGGTAATAACCGCAGAGCCTAACCACGAGATTGAAGTAACTAGAAGAATAAGAATGGGGTGGAGCACATTCGGCAAGCACTCTCAAATTATGACAGGTAGATTGCCACTATCCCTCAAGAGAAAGGTATATAACAGCTGTATCTTGCCGGTACTTAGCTACGGAGCAGAAACCTGGAGACTTACAAAGAGGGTTCAGCTTAAATTGAGGACGACGCAGCGAGCAATGGAAAGAAAAATGGCAGGTGTAACCTTAAGAGACAAGAAGAGAGCAGAGTGGATAAGGGGACAAACGGGGGTTAAGGATATCATAGTTGAAATAAAGAAGAGGAAATAGACATGGGCCGGGCATGTAGCGCGTAGACAGGATAACCGCTGGTCATTAAGGATAACTAACTGGATTCCCAGAGAAGGGAAGCGGGTTAGGGGGAGACAGAAGGTTAGGTGGGCAGATGAGATTAAGAAGTTTGCGGGTATAAATTGGAAGCAGCAAGCACAGGACCGGGTTAACTGGCGGAACATGGGAGAGGCCTTTGTCCTGCAGTGGACGTAGTCAGGCTGATGATGATGATGATGATGATGATATACATGAAGTGTCTACTTATTGTCCTAGTATTTGTATTCTTTCATCACTAAGCGAAATTGCTGAAAAATTATTTTGTAAGTGGTTAAAAGCTCATATAAAGAAATTTAATTAGTGAAATTCCTGTCCATTAGGTTTTCATACAAGGCAGATTAGGTCCCTTACATTTTTTTATATATACTAACAATTTAGCATCACAATATCACTCAGCGCAGTGTGTCTTGTATGCAGATGGCACTACCGCCTCCATTTATGATGAATCTTTACCCAGCCTAATCACTAAAGTAAACAGTGAACTTCAGCAAATTGTTGCACGATGCCTTAAAAAAACCAACTAATGATCAATGCTAACAAAACTGCACATATGATTATCAGACACAGTCAAAGAATACTGCCAAACAGACGTGAATTAATTATACATGATAATCCCAGACTTTGCAGGGGGGGGGGGGGGGAACACAGAAAGGTCCTAATAAGTGAGTGACAGCAAAAGGATTTATTGAACACACTTCTGGTGCTTTCAAAGCTTCTTATGCATAGTATACATTAGACTCTTAGTGAACAAAAATTCGTTAAATGGAATTCCTGCTTAAATGAAACAACTGCCTTTAATATGATTGATTCTGTACTTATATTCTGCACCCCTTTTTATCTCTCGGTAACCGGAACACCTGTTAAACGAAATGTATATTCCCAGTCCTTTCAGGTTTCGTTTATTCAGTGTCTACTGTACTGACAGGAAATACATGCAATGTGAAACCCACACATTTGTTACACTAATGGTGCCAACATGAAACCCACACATTCATTACACTAATTGCACCAACATCAGTGTTTGCTGAATACTTTCTGCTATGCATGGTCTATGATATCATGTGATGAATTATGTAAATATAAGAAACTACTTGCCTCTTCTTGCTTCTGCACAATGCATTGGCAGGCTAGTTGGTGTGAATACACTGCATTTTTTTTAGCATAAAATAACAACACAAGACAAAGGAGTTCTTTGTCCTGTCATCTGCCTCATGTTGTTTTGCGCTAAAAACCAATACTATGGACTCTTGCTATTTAGTTGTTGACAAATGCTGTGCTACAGGGAATGAGTGATACAGGCATGCTGCAGTTGCCCTGTTTCCTTGTGTGCATAATCATCACAACTCACTACCTATTCACTTTATGTCCACTCTGTTGCTTGAGCTCTCCAGTGGACGTACGCATGACATGGTAGGCCCAAATCCATTTGTTTCCTTTCATAAGATATCAGCTGCACCTGCCTAACCCAAACTCATAATGTTACTCCAATCATTTTACCACGTGGTTGCTAGCCTCCAAACTCAGCCCCGTATGTGAGCAGTGTTCCAGGCCAAACAAATTCGTACTGTTCACACACCTTGTGCTGGTCTCGATCGGAGGAGCGGGGCTCGAGTACCCGCCCTTGGGCCTGCTCATTGGCACGGGCGCACTGGTGGGCGTGGCGTTTGGTCCGTTCCTGTAGGGCTCGGCGTTCCCGCACGGCCCGTGCACGCCGTTCTACAGCAGCCTCGAGATTCTTGCGTCGCCCTGCTTGAGCCTCGCAAGAGGCTCGAAGAGGCGCACACACTCCCTCTGACAGGCCTCGCGATAAAACCCTGCAACATTGGCCGCCTTTCTTCACTGAAAGCGCTCAATGAGACGGCAATCTAATACTATGCCAGTTGTTTTCTAACAGCAAGGCAGCTGGTTTTCAATACAGCTTTATAAATATACAACATTTAATGTGAAACAAGTATTCATGCACTTTAATGGAAGAAGATCACAATTACTTTTAACCAACAAAAGATATCACAAGCAAGCTTGAACTTGAGTTTCACAACTAGTACAGTGCATGTACAAGACGTGGTGGGGAAGACATGTTGAAAGCTGCGTAAGGAACAAGACCTTTCGAGATATTTTGGAAGTGTATGGTCAAATAGAGCAGTGGCTAAAGAGCTAAAGATGGTGCTGTCACCAGTTTTTAAGAAAAACTGAGACAGAAATTAAACATATATTCAATATTCACAAATCAACATTGATAAGGGGTTGGCGGAACTCAATTCTACAACACAGGAGTTTTATTTAAGAGCACCTTCATCCGGGTATCAATATAGTCCTGTCTCATAAAAGTATGAGCTGCATGCATCTTGGTAATTCAATGCTTAAAATAAAACAAAAACCTTGCTGTTTCAACATTTCACTCCATTGCGTTTTTCTTTGGCGCTGATCACTTGAAAAATATTTCTCATTTAAAATATGGGCTATTCACTTGGTCAGTCAAATTTTCAAATATTCACACACCCTCAACAGTTGATGGACAGAGGATACTAACTGCAGAACATTCTGCAAGCATGTTGCTGAACATAATGTTTAGGGTAAGAAGTGTACTGCTAGTGTTTATGTTCGATGAAGGTAAGATAGAAGTGTACCTGTGAAGCTGGGCTTCTCGTTCCAACTGTGTGGCCACTTCTTGCCAAGCTGCCGCACTTGTGCTGAAATCAATGAAGCACACTCGTGAGCTCTCATATATAGGTGGCCACGCTAAGAGTGGACGTACCCAATCGCATCCCTCGCTGCTCGGGCGAGGCGCTGAGACAGCTTGGCCAAACTCTTCGCATGCCCAGCTTCCAACTCCGACCTGGAACCAAACCACTTCTCGTGTCTATGACAGGAACCTGGCTCACCATAGAAGAAGCCGTACAAGCATGGCCACAAATTGAGCGTGCGGAGGTATCATCTAGAGCACAGGCAAACGCTTCCAGTCCACTGAAGGACAAAGGCGTCCTTCCAATAATCTCCGATTCAATCTATCCTCTGTTTTTGAGTGCACATGCTTAACTGTGAAGTGAGTGTGATATGAACTTTTGCGAGGCAATATATGTTAGATGCCTTGTTAATACGTCACCTCACATTTGTCATACGTGATGATGGCTCCAATTCATGATTGCATGCTCTGAACACTGATAAATTCGAGCAAACGTGATATTATGGCATCCGATCTACATCAGTGTGGCACCTGCAGTTTTTATAATACTGGACAGACGTCCTGAAGTGATCAGAATTATGCACACTAGCAATACTTATGTAGTACATTACAATATCAGGATTAAATCATTTCATTTTCAGACAAAGACTCACTCGTCAAAGCACAAAAGTCACAAATAAAAGTTTGATCATTGAAGTCAAGAGAGCTAGCTGTACACAGAGAATGTAGCATTTCTGAACCAAAGTAGTAGTTACCCATTTGTTAATTCACATAGAAGTGCATCAAGCCCTACAAATATACCTGTAAAATTCTACATTCTTTCTGTCATAGCAAGGAATGCTTCCCTAGAGGGCAATCTTTAATACAACTGACAAAAGTGTTTGAAGGTAAACAGAGCTTCTCTACAGACATATGGTTTTACTCCCAATGAATAGGAATGAAAGCAGTCTTTTCTCACCGATCCTGCAGAATGCTGACCACTTCCTTAGAGAAATCGGCTCCCTGCTTCAACAGACGTCGCAACTCCTCAAAACCTGTAGGTCCCTGCAGGTACGTGATCGGACCAATTTCAATGTGGCCACAATATAACAAGCAGCTAATGTGACACAGATTGAAGCACTTAATGCATCCTCTACAAAAAAAGGGCATCAGCGAACCTAACAAACTTCTGAAAAAAAAAAAGCTGCGCCTTTCACTGTGCCAACAAGCACTACATATTTTTCAAGCATGTCTTACTATAGCAGTTCCTGGCCTAGTTGGTGTCTATGCTCGCTTAAACAGGTTGTTCCTGATGCTGGGTGTAAAATAAAAAAAAGCAAACTACCAACTGTTTATTTACATGTTCACAGGGGCACACTTTCTTAAGGTCTCCTTCTATATGGATTGAGCGAGCAGTGGGCTATTTTTGTACTTTCCAGGTGCACCGTCCCTCATCAGTCACATTCCTGTGAATGTTTCATTCACTTCAAAGAAATGGCACTGCTACCTCTACAGCTAATGTTTAGTGTGCTTATTTCAAAAATACAGAACTATTTTTCGGCTTGTTCGCATAAACTTATTCTGAAATCTGAAGTGACAGGCCCCATAAAACGTGCATTTGTTCCGTCTGCGTCACACTTTATTTTGCATCTGTAAAAGGCATGATGATCTATTAGGTGAGCTAAAATCTCCGGGAGTGGTGGAAAGAACGCATGTATAAGTTCGAGTGAAGTATATTGAAAAAACCATGGAAAAATGGTGGCGAGCAACACAATAGACAAATAGGCTGCCAATCTCCTTCTTAAAAACAGAGAGAGAGAGATCACTGCACTATATCTAATACAATAAACACACACACACACACCACACACATGAGTAGAATTTTCAAACCTAAGCTAGGACCACATGACAGAGTTTTCGATTGTGGGTCACCCCATACAAAGCATGAAGACTTTAGTGCATCAAGAGTCACTGGTGGGTGCCGCCATCTGGCACCGGTAAAAGTAGTCTTGTAGCAATTTATAACCTCTTGCAACAGAAATCGTACCTCTGCGTTTAAGTGTGACGAGATTACCGCATTAGCAAGCAGACGCATACATACTTGTAACACTGTGGCAGTACACAAGAAGTACAGGCCATGCCCCACGGTGCAGTGAACATGTTAAAGGTCAGAAAGGAACTGAAGTAAACCAGACATCAAACATGTAATTATAGAAGCTGTCCAATGGCATGTTTGATTTGCACACCACTGTACATGCTTGAAAGGTTACTTCATGAAAAAACAATCGGTAGTGAGAACTCCTCTACCCTGTCCTTTTTTTATTATTATTGTTTCACACTTTGCACCAGAAACAAACGCAAGCGTGTGCCACTCACTTGCCTTACTCAATTGGTAAAATATGGCTACGATTAACTTGCACCATCATTCTAGAATGCTTCCAAACTAGCTGCACAGATTGAAAACTGACAATACTTTCAAAAGAGACATCAACTTGGCCAGAAATGAGGGAACACTGCTGAGTAAAGCTGTGTGAATTTCTGGATTAATGCAGCCTGGCTGTTCTCTGTACTACGACACAGGGCAGTCGGGGGGGCATATATCGACATTCATGGAAGTAGGCCAAGCCAGGCCAAGAAACTAGTATATTGTTATTTATTTTTACGCACTGCTGGTAACTACTGCAGGGTTGAGGGTAACATTAGAGTGCATCAATAACACACTCATATAGTAGCAATGCACAAACTTTTTGAAGCAAAAAATTTCAACCTTCAATTGTAAAGAAAACACAAGAAAAGCTGTGTTTGTACAGTTGTATTGTAGTTGACATAATGAAATGATGAATTGTAGATTATTTGAAAATATTCTTGTCTTGTCTAAAAGCAGTACAACTCAACAAGAAAGAAACCTATATATATTGTCATTCACTCTTTAGTACAGAAAGATGGGGGAGATCTATATAGAGAGCATCATTTACATTACGTCTGTAACAGCAGAAGATCCATGGGCTGACATATATAGACAACTCGGTTTTACTACCAGATATTGCAACGAATGAGTGTTGTCATGAAGCAACACATCCACATACAATAAACTGGGAGTAAAATGGAGAAATGATTACTGATATCAATTCAACAGTCAAGAAGTATAAAAGTCCTCACTAAAACTCCTCCACAGTTTTCAACCTTCATAAGCAGCTTAAAGAGATGTACTGCATCAATGTGAAATTTGTATTAGCCAAAAGCAAAGCTGCGCCAAAGTTAGGGGAACACCATTTGACAGCTGGCCACATGACTGAATGGATCGACAGCGTTCGTGCTTCAGTGACGCAGCTCGTGAGTTTTGGCCGTGCAGCAGGCTCCAGTGCAAGAGAGGCAGTGAGTGTGTTCACTAACAAACATCTCTTACCGACTGTTTTGCCCATATTTTTGAAGAGCTGAATGGCAGAACACGAGGGAGTCCTCAGGAAGTTGCAAAATGGAACCAAGCCGGCATCTGGAGGACAGTCTAATCATACTCATGCAACTTATTGAAATACTTCATTCCATGGCTGACAGCAGCATGGCTCCTGATATGGGAGGACCACAGACATGAGTGGACCTATTATGTGGTACACTGGCTCTACAAAAAAAAATACACTGGTCATATGCTCTGTGGCGTCACGGTAGAACATTTGGTGCTCTCGATTACTATAGTAGCGCACTGTGGACATATTAAAATGCGAAAGTATAGGAGTGCATTTTTTCACCATTTTCTGTTCATCAGAGTACTATTGGCTCATACACTTACACCGCAGCAAGCATCACCTCTTGTTACAAAATCTGCAGCCACACAACGTTGTCTAGAGCAAGTGAACATAAGATTTGTTATATGCCTAGTGCTCATCTGTGCACACTGTACAATTAATATCCATTGGGTTCCGAGCACCGTACCCTCAGCTGGGGCAATGACTGCACTTAATCACCAACTATAATAATCGACTCTCACGTGGACACTGCACCGCACAGTTGGAGTTTGTGGATGTTTCTCCTTCCTGCTGAATGGATTGGGAACCTGCGGCACCCGATCCGTGTCCCACCCATCAGGCTTCCAACTCTCAAAGTCAGAACCCTGCCCCTTGTTGAATAAGTCTTGTGGATGTGGGAGTTATCTTCACCTCCAAATGTCTTCAGACATACGAGAACATCTCATGGAGAGAAGTGTGACAACACATTGAGAACAAACCGGCGCAGCCAGCCGCATGCTGCAACGCGCATCCGATAATGGACAGCGCCACCGCTATTCCACCGGAGGCTGACGTCACCACGGGGGCTATAAGACCCAAGCTGCCAGACTCACTAGGATGATTGTTTCTCTCACCGGTCGAGCACAGCATTAGCACGCTTGCCCTGCTGTTACTATCACGTTAATAAGCTATCGTTACATATTATGTTGGGATCCGTCCTTCACCGACCCGCGTCCCATATCTGGTGACTCAAAAATCGAACTAACCGCACCGCCATGGCCGAGCAAGAAGCCCTCGCCGCTCTTCGCCAACAAGTACAACTACTTCAAGAGCTACTTCAAGCCCAACAACAGTCGCGTTCGGTCCACATTCACCAAAGCTCTATTCTAGCGAGCACCATCACTCCTACGGCCACGGCGCCTTGCATCCTCATACCACCGGAGTTTCCCAAATTCTGGCTAGGAAGCCCGGCCATCTGGCTCCCCCAGATGGAGGCTGCTTTCAGCCTGTGCAACATCATCTCGCAGCAGGAAAGGTACTGCCATCACAGTAGACATGCTTCCTCCTGCTCTGTGATATGTTGTGCCTCCTCTGGGACTACAGGCATACGACGGACTTTTTTTTGTGATAGCCCTACCTCTACCGGCAGTACCACGTCACTCACCACATGCCATGCGAAACGTTAGCATCCCACCACAGGCCGTCACTACCACTGTGCCCACCCCGGTAGCTGATTCTACCACGTCTGCCTTGCCGACTATCGTGCCGTCTACTCTTCCCACCACCGCTGCCCCAGCTTCGCTGAACTTCCACGCCATCCCCTTCATGCCTACCACCACCTTGACTGGCCTACTTGCTTCTATACCTACCGATGCCACGTGCCCCCAGCTACAGAAGTCTTGGTCAATACAACACAGGTATTTCTTGGAAGCACGCTTGTAACTACTGAAAATGCTCAGCCTGCTGGGCTGACCGCTATGGCCTTGCCTAGCGCCGCTTTCCACCAAGACCCCACGTCGTTGTGCTACCCTGGATCCACAAGACTGGGCCTTTCACTCTCATAGTTACTTCACCGGAAGTGTCTACCACTGGCCTTCCGAACCAGGAGCAGTCAAACGCAGCCACGACTTCTACCAGCGCCCCTTCAACAGTTCCCGTTGAGCCTCGTGCACAGACTCCCCACACCCGAAGCCACTTCTCCTACTTCGCTTCCGGTTACCATGGATGCCCCTTCCTTGCGGTTCACAGAGACCACCTTTACTCAGACTGTGGCAACCATTTCTGCCCGGACGTCTACAGTGGTTCCGACTGCTTCTCGAAAAGAGGATTCCACCGGTGATCACTACGGCAGCAGATTCCCTTGCCCCAGTCCGCGACCAAAGTTCCAGCTACGTTGCTTTCCGTGACCCTGGCTCCTACTACGTCACAGCTTGCGAAGTTTCCATTCTTGGGTGTTCAGTTTATCTGCCCTCGGCGCCACTCGCAACCTCGACCTCCAGAAGAAAGTCCAGCACTCTTTGGCTACTCCTTCCACAGCCGCCACGTCGTAGCCCGCTACTTTCTTGGCACGCTCTGGGCATCTGTTACATCTCCCAGACTTCTACAAGCCCTGAGGGTTCTCCACTCCGCAGAAGGGTGATGTGGCGACACACTGCGCACAAACCGGAGCAGCCAGCGTGACTTGGCCGCATGCTGCAACGCACGTCCTATAACGGACAGCACCACCACTCTTTCACCGGAGGCTGACGTCACCACGGGTAGCTATAAGACCCAAGCTGCCAGGCTCACTAGGATGATTGTTTCTCTAACCGTTTGAGCGCAGAGTCGGCACCCTCTACCAGTTGTTGCTATCACGTTAATGAACGATCGTTACGTCTTATGTTGGGATCCGTCCTTCACCGACCCGTATCCCACAGAAGCTAATGTACCGTACAGGAAAAGCCCATGCGGCTGCAAGATACTATAAGCTGGTTCAAGAGCTGCGGATGGGTGTCTGCAAATATTGTTTGTGATATATTTATCAGCTGAACCAGGGCATAGCTTGCTCATATTAAATATCATGGACCTTTGTAGGCAATACAAGACCTTTAAAACATGAAAGGCGAAATTTCTACAGAAGACAACCTTGCCAACGAGGCAATGCAGGGCTGTTACAGTCAAATTTGCTTATCACAAATGAGAAAAAACAGCAGCAATTCAATTCAGTATGTAATATAATTTTCAATATATAGCTTTTAATGAATTTACCTTATTTTTTATGCAAATTTCAGTTCAAGACTTTGCTTCATGACAATGCAAAGACAGTTTCACTCGAATGGGCTGTGTTTTTTTTTAATCCTCATTTTCCTGTTGTTTGTATATGGCATAATTATATACTGTAACCTAGAGAGGAAACGGTTGCTGTGATCAGATCGTTGTACCACCATAGAAATGATGAGAAGTACAGGCTTCGGATTGGATAGCATTAGCTAGTGAAATATCTACGCATCTTTTTTAACAGGTTTCAGTTTCCTTTTTTGTGCAGCTAGAGTAGAGGGGGGCGATGCAACGCCCACAGCAGTGCCTTTGTTGTTCAAAGAAGGCTGAAGACTGCTAGGTCTCTTGGTTTGCTGCGACGTTGCAGCTTTACAGGTTGTGTTTGACAGTTTTACTGAAACGTCCGTGCACTCGCCGCTGCTGCATAGGTGTAGCATTCCATGTCAGTTCAAGATATCGCATAGAGTTCACATCTTCTTACATCTTGCTAAAAGTCGTTCAGACAGACTGCTAAATGATGGCCAAGCTAAGTAGACGCACCATCACGCTCCTATGACTTTGCTTCACAACATGAGAGATGCACTGAGAGCAGACCACTTGGACAGACGTGTCTGACATCGCATCAGACAAAACGTTAAGTGTTTCAAACTCAGAACAGTACGGTTATTTCCCTAAATAGATAATGCGCACTTTCAAGGAAAAAAACAAGCGTGCTTGAATGGCAGACTGTGCTTTGTGCTTGTTGGTTCAACATATTTGAAGTTTGTGGTGCGAATAAGACACAGACGGAGATAAGTACACACACACGAAGTGCCCTTGTGTATCTGTACTCATGCTTGTTTGTGTCGTATTTGCACCTTAAACTTTGAAAAACCGTGCTTCTTTTCAAGTGTTGTAAAGAAATAATTCATTATATCCTCATGCCATACCAGGAACACAATGGCAAAGCATTGCATACTCTAGTGGTTGAATTTGTCCCATTGTCACTTCCATCTCACGGTCGCAGAAACTGTTGGCAATAAGTTTTACGTAGAAAGGCAGGAAGTTTTTTAAGAAATAACACTAAGCAAACAAGCGTCGTGAATCTCAAGAATGAAAGCCATCCAAAGCCTGTACTTCCCATCAATGGGCCGTCATTCTCATGGTGGTACAAGCACCACTGAAGGAGCCCGAATGGACTCCAGTGCCAGATTACCCTCCAAGTATTTTAGTATGAAACTTCATGTTATATGGCATCAATGTAAACAGTGCCTCAACATCTTCACACAAAGCTGTGCATACTTTTCAGGTGCAGGAAACCTCTAATCTGCATGCACCCTAGTGCTGACCTTGTTTTTCAGTATCGTACACGGTGTGCTTTTTGGAATATGTTACACAGCAACGATGTCAAATGTTTCTCTACGCTCCACTATGCAGTATATTGATTGTCGCCGGCCTTGTAGAAAACAGCCAGGTTGTCCCATTTTACAGCAGCCATAGTGTAACCAAAGGGAGCAGAGAAGCACACGGCGACCTCGCACGAATACAAGGAATGGCAAGAGAAAGCACACGATGGCACGAGGTAGTTTCAACTCGCTCTGCCCACCGCCCATTAATCACAGTGCTCACTCTTTTAGATGCATGTTGCAAAGCCCCCCTTCTTAGGCAAAGCCAACGTCTTGGAGTGTTCCACATCTAACGTCGTGTTTTGCACTGTCCCGTTATCAATACATCAAATGCTCCAGCTATTGTTGTGTCATGTAGCCTTATATGTTCTTATGCACTGACGTTAAGGCATTGTAGCACTCGAAAGTAGTTCGATATATAACTCAAGTTACCAGAGTGCGGAACTGTCAGGTATGACTACATGAAGTTGGAGAGCATTCCTCCAACTTCCCTTGAGTTTGTAAGACGAGCACATGCGGTTTTCATGGAAATGAAATCATAAATCATTAGATGCATGGACAACTAGCAGCTTTTCATCAAATGTGAAAAGGGTTCTTTTGAATACAAAGCCACAAACTAACACTGGTATGCGATGACTTAATTACTGCCACTTGTGCTTACTTAGGATCTTACAAGTGGCAATTGTACCCCTATTTACAACTTCATTTTCATGAAAATGACGCATGGTGGTCTTGCAAACCAAGTAGAAGCAGGCCATTTGGCCCTTCAGTTACTCGCACTCAAAACAGGTAGAAAGGTGCATAGCTCGACACTGCCTCGATAAGGCCCTAAAGACATCCTGTTTCCATTTGAAGATGAATCTCCTCTGTCTCACACATGCTGAATATCCTGATTGCCTGGTACCCGTCGCAGAAGCCCTGCTCCAAAAACCACCTTCCATTCACTAGGCAGAAAGAAGTTTGCTGCTATATGCCATAATATCTATGCAGGATATTCGACAACACAAAAAATATGAATGCTTGGGGAGACATTGGCATGCGTTCATAGCCTCGAACAGGTTGGCTAAACTATACAAATGCAACAATTCATTACTTGCTAAAAAGACTCTTGGCTGCAATAAAAATCACAGAACAAGTGTGCTGTGCAAACATCATGTCGCGAACGTGGTAATATCCTAACTAGTGACAGGCTCAGGGTACACAGCAGCAATGTCAACAAACGTAGAGATAGTAGCCACACACAATGTAGCAAGTATCGGTTATTGTTCTATCGTCCATACAGACTGTGACAACTTCCTACAAGGTTGATCATTGAATGTGGCAATCAACCCTAGACTTGTTCAATATGACACTAGGCCGTATCTTTGACAATAAAACAACTATTCTCTTTTTCGATGCACTTGTACTTGCACATGCCTAGTACTGCTTTTTTTTTTCAATGTATAGATCAGTGTGATTCGGTGTGAATTAATAATTTGTGTGAAGCTCGAGCCTCTGCGCATCCTGCTCCTTAAATCTGAGCTTAACTCTTGGGATCGCTATATTTGGCCAGTGTCACATGGTCGACAGCCTGCAGGTGTCTGGTCGCCCCTTCATTGCGCCACATTTCCCGCTAAAAACGTTGTTTCCCGCTCTTTGGTCGACCCCACGGTGTATACACCGTGGTCCAACCTTTCATCCGATGCTCTCACTGGTGGAATATTTGTCCTAAACTTTCCGAATGACGAAACTCGGTTGGGCCGATCGATTAATTTCCTCCCGAACATGTAGGTGTTGTGAGCTGAAACTTTACAGCAGCCAGCAGAGCACCGAGCCCCCCAATCGCGGCCGGGGGCAATGGCCACGCGCGCGGGCGGCAGATGGCGCCGTCGCGGAATCCGTAAAAATCACGGACATTGGCGCGGAACAACCGAGCTCGGCCGCGAACGCCGCCGCCAGAGAATATGAAATGAATCGACGCGGTCCCGGCGACGCACGCCCAGAACGAAATAAAAAACGAGGCGCTAGAGAGAGGGCACAACCGGGTTTTTATTTTGTTTTGTCTGCTCCGAAACTTGCAGCAAATGAGAGAAAAAACGGCGAAGAACCCCAGCGAGCGCCAAAGATGTCATTGACAGCGCAATACGCGGTTGTAGTCGACATGATGACGGCCACGGATGGCACACACGCATCTGTCGAAAAAGCTGGGAGCATCCGGTGCGAGCGAGCACAGCCACGAGGTCACGAGCGCAGCGACTCGAAACGCGCTTGTTGTTCGCCCTGGTTGGACAACGAAACCGGAAATTAGGCGAGTAAGCATCGATGTGACCGCGGCGACTCGAAGGATGCCACGGCGGTTAACTCTCGCACGGCAGATAAAAGCACATCCATGCGATCTGTCAATTCAAAGACAGCACGACAGAACTATACGCAACAAAAAACAGGTGCATTTAAATTGAGCGAACCGACGACTGCGCTTTCGGTGTCGCACGCACAAGGACTTTCGCCATTAAGTGAGCTAACAATATTATCGAAAGCAAACTCACCCAGAACGCATCCCTGAAGGAAGTCATGACTCCCTGAAGAGCCTGTGTTGTCATAAGATTTGAATCTAGAGCATTTTCACCTGAGCAGGTGCTAGTGTGACTTAATACAAGAGAGCGTCTGCTTAAAACAGCTCCGCACAAGATTGTTTTAAAATAAATTTGCAATAAAACTGATAAAAGTTATTAAATAAATTAATAAAATTTAACGTTGTATAAATTCAAATATAATAGTTGTACTTTAATATTTTAATTTTTTTATTTTTGTGCGGTGCTGTTGCATAGTCAAGACCCGCGAGGGAGGCAGTTAGTCAGCAGCGCAGCAATTGCCCAGTGTGTAAAATGACAGGCGAAGCCGCAACCACAGCGTAAGTATGAATGGGACAAACTCTTATTTATAGGTTACGATTCCAAGCTATTGCCAGCATGGCTGCTGCAGCTCTTGCGTCGCGAAAAAGAACGACGCGGTGAAAGTTATTGGCGGATATTGTGGCTCCACCTGTTCGAGAAGGTTCGCGCTCAGCCGCCCATGCGACTAGGCCTAGTTCTCTTTGCTTTCGCGCTTTGTAACTTCGCCGTGTCGCCGAGAAAAGGGAAATATGTATGCGTATTCGTTGACTAGTGTTGTAATTGCAGTGGGGACTTGCCGCAGATGAGTGCGCGTTGCAGCGTTGGCGTGTGGGCCGCGTTGTTTCGACACCCGGCGTTCAGGGCCTCTTGAAACGCCGGTGTGACGCTTTCAAGCCAAGACACCGAAACGTTGAATAATTTCGTCAACGTGCGTTAAGGTGGTCAACTTTTCCAATATTGCAATGTGATCCACTAGCAGCCAAATCGCAGTACCATGAATCTTGGAACATTGTGCCAGGATCGTAGCAGCTCAACGATCTAACAATCTATGAACTAGCATTCAACTCTCCGAAACGGGACTCAACTGTTTGCGCTTGGATATGTCATGATAAGAGTGTTTGCCGGATGTTGCCCTCCTGTCTTCAGGGGCAGTCACGGTCGGTAACACACTGGCAAACGAATAACTCCCAAGTTTTTTTGTTTTTTTTTCAACACAGCACGCACGTAAATGTACCTCTATGGTGCATCCCCTATATCGCCTTGTTTCTCATGTGATAGTTGGGACTGATATCGCCAGTTTCCAACAAAAGAAATTTCCCAGTGAACAACTTTCGGACCATTGTCTGATATGAGCACAGGCAAATCTACATCGTACTGCCACATTGTATACGCGTAAATTAATTCATTCTTGCCATCTATCAAGAGTGTCCGCTGCCAAAATGATTAGTGATGGGGATGGCTACTGCCATCTAATCTGTTCGAAACAGCAGCAACTCGGAGAAAGCTTTACTGTACCAATGTTCGCATTTGCATGAGAAAAAGCATTCGAATAGCTTGAGTGTTTTAAAAGATTTGTGAATTTACTCACTGTGTGGTGCAATAAGTGCAAATGTTAATAAATTTAATGGTAGATAATTTTATGTGGGTTATATTCATTGTCTAAGTCTTGTGTGCAGTTAATTGCTGCTCCGGCTGGAAATTTCGATCGCTGCCAGCACTCTCTTGTGTGGCTTGTTGCAGTTTTTTTTTTATGTGGGTTATATTCATTGTCTAAGTCTTGTGTGCAGTTAATTGCTGCTCCGGCTGGAAATCTTGATCACTGCCAGCACTCTCTTGTGTGGCTTGTTGCAGTTGAGTCCGTTTGTTTTTGTGCAGTCTTCCTGTTCCCCCTGTACTGTGGGCACAGCGCAAGAATGTAGTGTATGTCAAAGTGGCCCTGGAGGACTGTAAAAACCCAACCATAAACCTAACAGCAGACTCCTTACACTTCAAAGGGATGGGAGGACCAGATTCCAAGCCACATGAAGTGACGCTGAGGTTTCTCCATCCTATCAAGGTGAGGAGTGGTGGGTTTTGTGTGCATTGCGTGTAACCATCCTAACAAGAGTAGAATAGCTGTGCCGATTGTGCGCCCAAGTTGCTTACCAGTGCCATCCTGCGCTGAGCCACCCCCGTTGCACAGAACTTGTTTATCAGCATCGTACTGCGTGGCAGTGCCCAAATTTTGCCGCAACGTGCAACATCCATCAAGTCCCACATCTGAAAAACGTGTCTGAAATATTTGACGTCGTGCTGCACAAGTTCATCGGTATTTAAGCACTAGCGTTCCTGCAAGTTCTCGTATCTTGCAAGTAGTGCTAGGTAAATGATGTGCTTGCACATTTGACTGCTGCACCGAAATTGCTCGTGTCGTGCTGCATTAACACTAGAGGGAATGGTGCGGCACTTGCACTTTCAAGAACCACGTGAAGCCTGATCGAGGAGACTTACTCATTGGGCCAGCAAACTCGTGAAACGCAATCGACCAGTGAAGTAATGACACAGCGCACCCATCGGTCCACTGAACGCAGTGCAAATTAATTGGCGAAACGACGCAACGACAAGACAAAACTGAGTTGCCATAGTCAGCAAATACAGCTATGTTAGGAACTAAATTTAGAAGCGTAGACCACTGTTACTACGTGTAAACATCGGTGTTGCGATGGCAACTGAAAAGATTTTTTGTAGCGCGAGGCAAAAATACGGAAATGAAATGGGATAGTGACAGGACGGGGCACTGTCCTGTCACTCTATTCCTTTCTGTTTCCGGGTTTCGTCTCGCGCTACGAAACATTCTTTCATATGCATCACCAACAAGCCCACATTGCAATTCATCGCCATAGCAACGGCACATGCAATAGATATACGGTGCCGCCAACAGGCGCATGCCTTTGTTACGTTATCAATCCAAACGTGCCTCGCAAGTTAGCCAAGAATTTTTACGCTAAACCTAACTCTATTGTAAAAAAACAGAAGGGGGTGTAATTTTTTGGCCTTGAATTACGCCGCTTAAGCCACCTTAGCTGCAATACACCGGTGGCCTGCGGAAAAGTTTTAATTCGAAGGGGCTTTAGCACTAATCATGGGGCACAGCACAGCTGGTTCAATTACTCATGCGTGAATATGCCACATAATTCTGAGTACTGTAATATGATTGCTGTCCTCTGTAAAAGTTACTGGCAATCATTTAGAGCACTGTATGATATTTCAGCAGCCCTAAAAAAAAAAGTCTAATAAAACTGCGGCAGATTTTTTTCGCCGGTCCTACTTCTCAGTTTTACTAATCTCCCGAAGCTCAAGGTCGCATCTTGGCAAATCCACATTTGAATCCTCGGGTCCTATCGAAAAGATTTACAGGTGTGGCAAATGTTACCGAGGGCTTTATCGTTGTTTACAGAGTGGGGTGGCTAAACATACTCTTTCACTCTGCACGGTTTAGGGGATGTTGAATGTTTTACATGTTTTTTTTTTTCTAAATGGAAGCCTTCTTTTTCATGCTGCTCCAACTTTATTTTTTAGTGATAACAAATGAATGTTTTTTTTTTTTTTTGTAACCTGCTCCAAATTTGGGTTTTAGTGCTACAAAAGAAACATTTTGCTCAAAGGTTGCTCCAACTTCTAAATCGGCTGTTGCACCCCTAATCTAGGCAAAGGACACCACGATCATGAAATACAAGCATGCAAAGACAGAGCTACATTCACCTAAATAGTGTTCCTCCTCCTGTCTCTCCTTTCATTGCATTGCCACCTCTGGTGCCACACATGTGGTATCTCTTTAAGCTATTAGAAAGTTACTTTATTTTATCAAGTAATGGTAGTCTTTTATTTGGGAAGAAAAGCTCTGCAAAGTGAGCAAAAATGATTTTTTTTTTTGCCATAAAAAGGTAGTGCTACGGGGTGGGCACTTTTTTTTTACTCATGCATGAAGCGTGAAAAGACTTTGCCAGTGTGGCGTCACACTAGGCATCAGATGTCCTTCCCTATAGATTACAGTATTGAAATTTTTTTAACATTTTTATATCATTTAAACATTTCTGTGGTCCATTCTGTTTAAAATTGAATCTTTTAGCACTCTGCATTAAAGGTCTAATTCAATCCAGATTGTCTAGGCATTGTGATTTGCCATAGTCGCAACAATAGTGGTTCCCTTGCAGCCTGAAGAGAGCCGGTACGTAGTACGGCCACGTGGCACAGAGTTTGTGCTGGCCAAGGCTGAAGAAGGCCCCTTCTGGAAGCGGCTCCTCCAGGATCATGTCAAACATCACTGGCTCAAGGTAGACTTCAACAAATGGGTCGATGAAGATGACTCTGGTGACGAGTTAGGTGCTGGTGGTGGTGACTTTGAAGAGATGATGCGCTCCATGGGTGGCCTGGGTGATGACGACACTCCCGACATGGTACGTCGATTGTGGCACTTCTGTCATTTCTCGCAAAGGTCTTTCAGGTCTTTTTCGTGTATGCTCATTGGACAGAACTCACTTAGTTTTGTGCACGGTATTTGCTTTCAAAGGCTTGGTAATATTTCTGCATTATGAAGTTGGAATTACATTGGAAGACGGGGATTTTTAGATGTCAGTGGGTTGAGAATGCTGCTCTTCAGACGTACTTTGGCTATGAGAGCAGTGGTTATGCAAACCATCCTAGAGCGTTGGTCTGATTATGTTCTGCTTTGGGCCATCTGTTTCCTTATCAGCATCAGCTTTCCAAGACAGAAATTTGTACAAACTGTAAGAAAGAAAAGTGTGTGTAGGAAACAAAGCAAAAAATGCAGAACTTGAAACTTTAGGCTGGAGGCTCCCCAACCAATGGCGCTGCGACTCTGGACAGGCAGCATCATCTTGTGCAGAAAAATTGAAACTGGAAATATAGGTCAAGCAGTCGGTTTTCCTTCTCTCTCCACTGTGCTGCCGCTTGCTTCAGTGCACATGCACAGCTGTCATGTCTCGCAATGTACCACTTCAAACGGATCTCCCAGCTGGACAGGCCCTTCGAAGAAGTGAACGTAATCAAAGGAGAAAAGCTTTGAATCACGTTTACAATTGGGAGCAGACGATAGACGACGCCAGACTTAACTCGAAATACATTTCCGAAGTCCGCGACATTGCCGTACCTATACTAGGGTATATGTCGGCGTAAACTTCATTCTGTCATATCTTTAAACTACCTAATGATCTATATGCACTGCTGAAATGAAGCCACACACACAATCGACGTTCCGCGTTTTTAGCAATGCTAGTTTTCTATTAATCTGTATACTGGCAGTAGCAGACACTGTACTGTCCTGAACAAACTTATGTGGCACGCAAAAAAAAACAAATAATCAGATTTACGCGGCCATGGCAGTAAAAAGCCTGATGAGGTTACTCACGTCTTCCATAACACTCGAGCATCACCCGCTGACATAGCTGTGAGACAGCTAGATTAGCTTTAACCGCTGTGAAGCAAGTTAGACTTCTCACCTCGTTTTGCTCTTCCCCCACCCCCGTTTATGGCATCATGCTTGCACTCCCACTTTATGAGGTTATCGACAGTATGGGTGTATAAGACCTGCTGCGTAAACGCGGCTCAGCGATGAAGGTGCGAATTTGATGCACAATCTGATAACTAGCATGCGTTACGCCCGCATAATTAGCATGCATGTAAATGCACCCTTGAAGTACTGTACCGAACGTAAGACGTACTGTGTGCGTGTTTTTTTTTTTTTTTTTTTTTTCAAGAATGAATTTTCTAATTGTGGTGCCTACTTTGAGTGTACGAAGTAACTCTTCCTGTTATCTCCTTTCAGGAGCAGACAGGGGACAGTGACGACGAAGGTATGTGCCATAAGACATCATTCGTATGTTATTGCTTTGAATCAATCATGCAATATTCATTGGGGTCTATGAAAATGCATAACTTTGAAAAGTTCGTTTTGAAGGGCTGAAATTTTTGCAAATTATGGATAAATCCTTGAAATTAGTTTTTTTTACAGACATTGTTGCACATTTCACAGCGCATTATTCGTGATTCCCTAATTGTAACAGGTTGCATATTTAATGTGCCCATCACAAAAGAACTGTAAATATCAAAATTAGTTTTTTTTTTAACAGACATTGTTGCACATTTCACAGCGCATTATTTGTGATGCCCTAATTGTAAAAGGTTGCATATTTAATGTGCCTATCACAAAACTGCAAATATCAGTAGCTTCTGCACGGGATCAACACCGCGAATTGCATATTACGTCAACATACGGCATCCGTTCTCATGGACCCACCTTGGTCTGCACGGAGTGATTTAGAACCAACAGAGGCCCAACTGACATTTGGGATCCTCTGGGAGAAATTTCAAGATCTTCTCTTGTAGGCGCGAATTCTCCCTTGTGTAAATGCTGACTGCATTGAGATCCGAATCTTGTCACATGTCACGTGACTGATTCGTCAGACATCTGATCCATCATTTGAATAAGTTTTGCAAGTGAAAGAAGAGAAAAAAAGCCAAATCATCAAAAAAAAACTTTTCATTTTTCTGAATAAAACGGTACCATTCTTTCAATTAAGTGGCACTTAAAAGTAACATTAATGTTGTTTTTGTGTGTGTGTGTGTGTGTGTGTGTGTGTATGTGTGCATACGAAATCTGGTAATTTTTTTTTTTTTTCAAATAAAATGTTGTAGACTCAAGCTACTTTCAAAATGGTTGTCTTACAGTTCTAAAGTTGTTCAAGCAATATTTGATTATTATTCATATCTAATTCTAATTAGGTTACGAAATTCGCTATTTAGTTAATCCTCTTCGCTGGCATTTGCCTCTGATGAACGGCACAGTTTGTGCGGTGGCCACGCTTTTACAGCACCACATTCGAAACAGTATTTGCTCCGAATTTCTGCCAACTATGGCTAAGCAGGCCTTGCTGAGTCACCATGTGTTTTTGATGACAGATACTTTGATTGGCTGACATAATATGATGGTTCCTGTAGAGTTGAAAGAAAATCGAAATTAGGACCTTGTCGGGCGTCAGTGCCTACAGTCCTCTTTCCCGAGTGTATCCTTGTTCACTTGAATGAACCTGGACGATAAGAATAATTGAAGTATAAATAGTATTGAATTGGCAGCCAGGACTCCAAATACATGCATACTAAAGATTTTCTGAAAATGTTTCACAATCTCTTTAAGTGTGTTTTTCTGTTTGCAGTAACATTTTGACATCTGTCACTTCTAGAAACCTAATCAGCCGTACTTACTTTGTAGCTGAGGCTTTGCAGCTACACTCGTATTGTACAATGCGCTGTAGAGCCGGCATACATGTTTTCATCTGAATAGTCAGATGTGTTGTCTCTGTTACTGGGTCTTGATCCGTTGTTTATACTATAACGGCATGTACTATCAGCGTCAAATAAAACCTGAACTGCGGCGAGCCTTCGCAACGGTATAGTGAGTTCTGCCCAGTTATCACTGTTGACAGGCGAGCACATCGGCAGCTCTACGCATATATATATCTGTGCCTGTTGTGGGGATAAGTGGACAGCGCGGATAGTACTGTTTGGATGCTAAGAATATGCACCATAATCGTACTGATGCTCCAGATCCTGAATTTATGAGTTTTGCTTTGGCAAAATTGGGGGGGCCGTTGTAACAACTGCTTCTTTTGGTGCTGTGCAGAAATTCCAGACCTGGAGAGCAGCAGCAACAACAAAGAGTGAGGTCGGCAGCCATCCCTTGTACAGACAGCGCCAACATCGGCCCCTTCCATTTTTCCTTGTCATTTTGTTTTGCTACAGTCCACCAATAAATCTACCAATGCCAAGATTTTTGTGTCGATTTGAGTGAAGGCCAGTTGCTGCACAGGGGGTATGGGTCCTCCAGAACGCTGAGGTTTAAAGTGCATTTTCAAGGCCTTTAGAAGTCGTTTCTTTTTTTCCCATATTAGTTGTGGAAGCTTCAATATATGCAACGGTTAAATAAAGCCATTTCCAAGGCCACATGCCACACATAATGGCTCCCCTCCCTTCAACACCTTTTCTCTACCATTAATTTCCCGCCAGACTTCTCCCACTTACCCCTCCCATGTTGAAACACTAAGAACGTGATTTTGGATGTATGCACCTTGTGTACTTCAAATAGCACATTTGCACTAGGAAAAGAGTTTAGTTGCGATAAGCAAGGTAAAGGTGCGCCACCTGCCGGCTACGCTGGGAGGGTGGTAACGGGTCCCCAAATGCACAGAATATTTCTTATGGTAGAGCGCCCGACTCTGCCGATGTCATTTACGGAGGCAGTATTGTCGGCCTTGGCGCTAATTCGCTATTTCTCAAGGCTGGTATTCCCGACTATTTAAGGGTGCGAACCATCTGGCGAGTCGTGTTGGAGCTGAGCCTTTGATGTCTATCCAATACACTGAGAAGCGGCTGCTGCCTGAGCGCGGTTTACGGAAAAACGTTCTCAACAAAGCGAGATATCCCATGTAGAACAAATGTATGCTTTCTCTCAGTTCACTGGTGTTTTTCTGTGGTTTAATCGATGTTTTTCTGTGGTTTGGCACACCAAAATGGCTTTTTGGAGTATCATCATCCCCTAAATGAAATTTATTTCAGTATCTACTATTCTTTGCCGAAATGTATATCCCAAGTATCCCGTTTTGTCAAGGACAAATGAGGGAGCATGGTTCTCCATCCGCACGAGTTTGGTGTGCCTCTGTCTCTGCGCTCTCTTATGTGATTCTTAAAGAGAAAAGTGAGCCTGGTAACTGTCTGCATGAGAGTGCGACACCTCAAGAGTAGCTCATGAGTGATGGGGGTAAGGAGGGATTGAAAGGATGGGATTAAAATACATATATAGAGAGGAAGGAGAGAGCGAGGCGCAGGGACAGTGAGCGACGGAAGTAAAGCGGAGATGGCAAAGATGGACATGGTCGCAGGAGTCTGAGGACGGGGCAATACTCGGCGAGAGCTCATGTCGGCGGCTGGAGACGGCGTAGTGGGAGCCGTTGGCCAGTGCTGCGCTGTCGTCGGAGATCGCGGGGATACAACCTGTCGGCACGAAATCTAGAGAGCGAGTCTCCTCTTGGCGGTGGCAGAGTTGGGTCCCATGGACAAGTCGGTGGTTACGACGTCCGGCAATCGCTAACACGAGGGCGAGGTCCCATGAGCTGTTGTGGACTGATGTTGCCGGCACGTGGTGCGTGCCTCGTGCAGTAGTAGTGGTGGTTCGGAGGAACAAAGAAAAAGGCGCTAATTTCTGCAGCTCGTGACGGAGTATAGCCAAAGCCACCTTGAGGTGGATTTGGTATAGCTAGGCGCCTTGAGGGGTGGGAGAAAAAAACTCCCAAGCATTTCCCCGAGGGTGAACATGGTTAAGTGCGAATGCACGGGGTGATGCTATGAGGGGGAGTAATGTTAAAATCCGTTGGCATTCGCCAGTGAGTTAACGTAAACTCCCCCGTGTGATCAAATTGCGATTCCCAGGAACCATTACACCATAAAGGCACCATAGTGTGATTAATAAATATAATAGTGCGAATTAATAAATACCCCTCATAGCATCATCCCGTGCATTCGCACTTAACCATGTTCACCCTCGGGGAAATGCTTGGGAGTTTTTTTACTGATAATGATGATTAATGTGTAATTAATGAATTTAAGTGTTGTTTGTCATGAAGCATTTGTACACAGATACATTATATACGAAGTATTATTTATTTACACTTCACGAGTTTCGTACGATGCATTAAATGCACACATCGCGAGCACGTCACACACACACAAACTACACTACAGATTAGCACCTATTCGTGTTATCGTTGTAGCTCACGGTTAGTACCAGCGCTTTGTGATCCGAGAAATGTACGGTGAGCGGATCCGGCAAGACGGAGCGGACCGTACAGTTCCTACTGAACGACAAGTCTATGAAGCCACCGTTGATCGTGGTCGGAAACACGAGAGACAGACACGTCATCGAGTAATTGTTCAGCATGTGGTCAACTAACCAGCCATTGTCCTTTCTAACGTCCACGTTAAAATCACCCACCACCACAATCGGAACCGAGGGACGCGCGCGCGCAAACTCACTCTCCATCGCCGCATCCATCTGCTCCAAGACGTCATCTCTCGAGAGGTTCGGGGCCAGGTAGACGGTCACAACCAGGACGGCATCGCCGGAGTAGGCACTGGTGTAGACTGACCGTTGCCCCGCGTGAGCCGCCTGATGCTCATGAAGGGGAGATGAGGCGCTCTTCCACCGGGTTCAGATCGGGGAGGTCCGCGGGACGAGGCGGGTACGCGTAGCCGTGGCTCTTGCTCAACGGCGGAACCCGCCCGGCCAGCAGGGACTCTCAGCAAGACGCACACACCCGGAACGCACCGAAGAGAGCCAGCCGCGGGTCTTGCGCATCCATGTCGTCGCATCGGTGTTCGCCCGACCGTCTTCCGAACTCGTTCCAAAGAACCCGCAACGCGTTCAACCTGTTGGTCTCGTTCCTCACGCCGGAAATGCAGCTCAGGTTGTTATCGAACCACAGCCGGTCACACACGGCGCAGCTGTGACCGAAGCTGCGATCCACAAAGTCGCGTTCGAAACGCGCGTCCGGACGAGCAAAGTCCAGGGCTTGCACCCTCTCTCGAACGGCACGTTCACTGGCTCGAACGGCTTCGGGAACGTCCACTCGCCGTTGACGATTGCGAGCGGCGTCTTGACGCCGGCCTTCATCGCCCTTCTCCGCCTGACGCTTGCGTTGTCGTCCCGCTTCTTGGGCCGCGTTCGCGGCTCGATGCTGACGCCTCGTCTCGGCCTCGCGAGCGCGCAGTTCACCATCCGTTGCACGCTTCGCCCGCTTGTCCTCGGCCTCGCGAGCGCGAAGTTCGGCATCCTCTGCAAGCTTCGCCCGCTTGTCCTCGGCCTCGCGAGCGCGCAGTTCGGCATCCGCTGCACGCTTCGCCCGCTTGCACTCGGCCTCGCGAGCACGCAGTTCGGCATCCACTGCACGCTTCGCCCGCTTACGTTCGTTCTCACGAGCCCTTCGCAGCGCCGCCTTGTCTTCCAACGTCGGCGAATGAATGAACAACTTTATTTATCCCTTGTTAAAGGGAAGGGGGCAACAGGAAAGGGTGTGGTGGGGATGAACTACTTGAAGTAGTCCTCCTCTACCCTCTCAGCCCACTCCAGGATGGCCTCCTGGATAGCGGGCCTCGAGCTGCGCAAGGCAGCCTCCCACTGCTCCTCACTAGAAATTAGGCGTTTCAGGAATGGGGGAAGAGGGTGCTTAGGGCAGCGCCACATGATGTGGTTCAAGTCTGCTGTGGAGGAAGCACAAAATTTACATGAGGGGGAAGGATAACAGGATGGATGAATGCGGTGTAGGAGGTAAGGCGAAAGAAAGGTGCGAGTCTGCAGCTGTCGCCACAGAATTTCGCACCTGCGTGAAGATTTGCGCGTGAGTGGCGGGAAGGTTAATCGCTCTAAACGGTAGTGTGTGCAAATATCGTGGAATGAAATAAGGCGATCCCGCGCTGTAAATGGCGCCTCATTCGTAGCGAATTGCGACACATCGGATGCGTGTGCCCGGACTGTGAATCCTCGGGCACTCGCATGAGCCGCCTCGTTTCCGGCAAGGCCCGCATGCGCGGGAGTCCAGATTAGTGCTACAAGTCGATCAAGGGGATGATGCAAAAGTAGGGAAAGGGCTGGCTTAGAAACCCTGCCCGCTCCGAAATTATATATAGCTGTTTTGGAGTCACTGATTATAACGGATGAACTAGGTATTGTCAGGGCCAGGGCTATGGCCGCCTCTTCCGCTTCCTCCGAAGAAGAAGCAAGAACGGAGGCGGCCGCAGCGACCTGGCCGTGAGAGTTGATTACCGATATTGCATAATGATGCCTGTTTCCGTAATCGGCGGCGTCAACATAGAGCACATCATTGGAGGAGGAGAATTGTTTTTGAGGGCCCTCGCGCGCTGCATCCTGCGCTGTTTCTGGTGCTCAGGGTGCATGTTTTTTGGAAGTGGTGGAATGTATAGGTTCTCGTGTATGTGGTGTGGAATGGTGTACTTGACCTTAGTGATGGATGCCGGAGTGACAGAAAGGGTTTGTAGAATGTGTCGGCCTGTCACGGTGTTAGAAAGTCTGTTATACTGAGATGCAATATGGGCTTCTCCTAGTTCAGCAAGGGTGTTGAAGGTGCCAGTACGCATAAGCCTTTCAGTGGAGGTCCGTATAGGCACCCCTAAAGCGAACTTATACGCTTTGCGTAAAAGGATGTCTATCTGGTCGGATTCTGATTTAAGAAAGTGTAGGTAAGGCGTTGTAAAAGTTATTTTACTGATAACGAAGGCTTGGACCAAGCGGAGGAGTTCGGCCTCCTTTAGTCCGCCATGTTTATTACTGACCCGACCCAAAAGTCGCAAGGTATGATCAACGGTGGTGTGAAGTGTCTTTAGTGTGTATGTGTTGAGCCGATTGCTTTGAATGTGTAAACCGAGCACGCGGATCCTATCCACTCGAGTAACTGGTACGTCATCTAGAATTACCTGTATATTGGATATGTGTTTTTCGCCCCCTCTGTGAGATGGTAGGAGAAGGAGCTGAGATTTCTGTGGGGAACATGAAAGATTCATAGACCCTGTAAGTGCCACAACCGTATTTGCCGCAGCTTGCAGGGTGTCTTGAATCTCTCCATCGGAGCCGCCAGTCATCCAAAGAGTGATGTCGTCGGCGTAGAGTGAAACTTGAGGTCAGGGATAGATCTCAATGCTTGCGCCAACGGCATCATAGAGACATTAAAAAGAAACGGTGACAGCACAGACCCTTGGGGCGTG